ATATTATTAAATCAAAAATAAATTATTTTCTTATTAAACCTAAATTAAATTGTAATAAAAAAATTGAATTAAAGAAATTACACAACAAAACAAGATTTTTTAAATAGTTAATTTAATACTAATATCGATATGTTTTTTTTTTTAAATTTTAAGATATCTTCAAATTTATATTTTATTCAAAAATAAAAACATTATCGTTTTTTTCTCAAAACCACATTAAACCGTATTATAACATCGACAGAGTGACAGAATAAAACGAAACATTAAAATCAAGATGTATCTTGCTACATTGTACGAGTACCCTTCTAGTAAATAATAAACTAGTTGTTGATTTGGCGATATAGAGATCTCTTATAATAAATAAATGATATTATATAGATATATGTGATAACCATAAAAGCTAGCATAGCAATTTTTTTAAGATTGTGATATTACAGTAATATTGTATATAAGTTGATGATATCGATCTTTTTTATAGGGCGTTTTTTTTTCCTTTTTTATGAAACAAAACTATTTTTTTTTTAATTTGAACTTATTCGCATTCGCTTTCTATCATTTGATTAAATGTTTATTAGTTGTCAAATATTTTCGTGATTTATATCTGTTGAAATAGCGGTGTATTTGACATTGTTTTTTTTTTTTTATTAACCTGAATATCCAACTTGCTATGCAACCCGACTAATTCCAAGGCAACCACCTGTTTTGCAGATAGCCCGGAGCAACCGCATTTGAACCTCCGTGACCACAAGGGGATTTTTATTCCTCCTTGGATTTGAACTTGAGACTTTCTAGTACTTTTGACTTTTGGAGTCAAGCTCAAATCAATCATACACCACCTTTGTGGTTTATTTGACACTGTTTGATTATACACAAAGTGAAATCTTGCAATTTTTACAAAACACGGACATTTTAACAAGAGAAAAGCATGAAAGAATAGTAAGGATGGAATTTAGAAAATAAAATTCTTAATAAGAAAATGCATATACTTAAAAATGATATATGTGATAACTTATAACCATCACTCATCACCCACAGTTAAGTGTATGTAAAATAATTCGATTAAGTTACAACTGACCCAAAATCAGATATCAATTATAATCGGATTAGATTATACCAAAAACTTCAATTTTCAATTTGGCTTGGTTCGATTATCAAATATTATGTTGTATCTATATGGATCTCTATTTATGATTACTACTTTTAGTGAAAGCCTGAAAGAGTTGGGTTTCGATAAAAATGGAAATTACGGTGAGAATGATGAGAAGAGATCTTCACCCTTAAATCAATCATAATTAAAGATCAACACTAATGCGGTACACCAAAATACACCGGATCAATTCTCATTGGATAATTGAATTTCATCTAGTTTGTACCTGTTCAAAAACACCAATAACCATCAGAACCTCCATCCAACTCAAAGAAACAATCTCTCTTACAATGTATTTTATGACAAAAAAAATCCAAGGGGCCGTTTACCAAACACATATCTGGTAAGTGCTTACCGGTAAAATTTAACACTATTATTTACTTATCGAGTAAGATTTTGGTCCACCAAAACGACATCATATGCAACAATTTACCCGTTAAGCACTTACTGTGGTAAGAGTGGTTGCCTTTCACTTATTGGGTAAAACTCTTGGTCTTTGTCTCGCTTTTACTCGCTTTTACCGGATAAGATTCTTAGTCCTTACCATATTCATCCGGTAAAATAGTATGACTTGGTAAGCGCTTACCCGGGTAAGCGTTTGGTAAACGACCTTAATTCTGATTATTTAACATCACATCAACAATTTCAAAACCTTAATCTGCAATATGCATGGATAACATTGTTTGGATGGAATATGACCCAAAATCAATCCATTTGATATATTCAGTTTCACCGTTTAAAGTACCAATTTCACAGACTTAAGATGAGTATTAACTGTGGCATGATGTGAAAAACATTCTATAGAGATCATGTTCTATTCAACAGAATCCACTGAAAGAATGACATACCAGGAACAAATCTGTGTTTTACGTCTGCCACGATACCATTTTAACAGCAGAACTCGAAGACGTACCTACTTGTTCAGATCAACCAGTGGCAATCTTGTATCAACCATCTCATCCTTGCCCTTCTGCAATGGAGAACATGGAATGCTGGATTTCTGCAACATGTTTTCTAGCATTTTTGTTAATCCGTCATCCTTAGAAAACTCGCCAATCTGGTTGGATGTTGTTTCCATTTCAAATAGCAAATGCTCCCTGTCTGATGACATTTTTCTGATATCTTCATGTAAACCACGGTTCTGAACCTCAAGATTCTTCACCACACTCTCCAAACGTGTTTTCTCCTCTTCAAACTCCCCCTTGAGGCTTTCGGTTTCTAATTTCTTGATTTGCAGCAAGGCTTCTAACTCTTCTGTGTGTTTGGAGGACTGCAACAAGGATTCATTTTGGAGCTCGAGTTTCTGATATAAATCAGAAGCCTCGATCTCCAGTTTGTGTAAAGCTTGGTATATAACATCAATCTGGATCTGTTTTTCTTCGGAGCTCATTAAAGCATTTGTCATCTCTTTCTCTAATGCTTTAGCTTCTTCACCAAGCTCTTCCATCTTCTGGTTTCTCTCTTCTATAACCTGTAAAAGGCTCTTTTTCTCTTGCTCGGAAACAATGAGCAGATTCTCTATGCTGCTTTCTTTATCTTCTATCATTTTGAAATATTTGTTTTTATCCTGCTTTTGTGCTTCTATTGTTTCTGTTCGTTCTGTAACCAATGTTTCTAGTAACACAAGTTGTTGCTGCAAATCAACAATCTTTTCGTTTTGCTCGTTTGCTCTACATACAAGACTTTGATTCTCAGTCTCGCAGGCCTCCAGGGTTGTTTCAAGTTGCATATTCCGGCTTTCGGCCAACAGTTTTATTTTCTCCAACTCAACAATTTTCTGTGATAAAGCATCTGAACCATCTTTATCATCCTGCTTTCGAGAATTTTCTAATTTTTGAGATGATTCAACAAGCATCTTCTTATGCCTTTGAAGTTCTTCTTCCATGAGAAGTTGATGTTGTTTCATATCTTCAATGGACTCGACCCTTTCCATCAATGATACCATTTCCTCACATTTTTTGGCAAGGTTCACATTTACTTCACAAAGAGCATTGTTCTTGATCTCCAATTGCTCTGTTAGATTTAGGATCTTCTCTTCTCTTTCTTTGTTGCACAACTCCAGTTTGGATACTTCTGTAAACAGCTCGGAATAAGCTACTGAAAATTTGGATTTCAACACTAGAACCACTGAAGATATTTCTTCGTTCTGAACTTCAGACAAGTAATGGCAAGATTCCAACTCCTCCTGTAGTTGCTTAACTTGTTCGCTTGGAACTTTCAGTTTTGATAGATACTCATCCATCTCTCTCCTCACCTTTTCTATTTGAGATTTCCACTCAACTTCTTTGTCTTTCAAATTCTCAGTACACTTCTTGTGTAGTTGTTCCAACCCTTGATATTTCTTTTGAAGTTTCTTCAACATGCCATTAGTTCCACAGTTAGTAATTTGAGATTTCTGGAAATCTCTGAGAGATGCTGTTAGATCATGATTCTCTTGTTCCAAGTGGGCCATTTTATACCCCATCTCTTTGGATTGAGAATCTTTTGTGGCCAAAGTATCTCTTAGTTCTGCAACTTCTTCATCTCGCTTGTGAGACAACTTCTCAATTGCCGCCTTTGCTTCATGGCACTCTGAAAAAATAGTCTCAAAACGAGATTTGTACTCAGAAACCTCAACTTCCAACAGTTTCCTTGTGCTCTCTTCATGTGCTAAGGCCTGGTTGCATATCCTCAGCTGGGTCTGAAGGTTTTCAGATATTCTAGTTTGAGAATCCAAGCTTGTTTGAAGTGAACAGATCTCCTCCAACATCAATGATTTTTCCCTCTCCCACTCTGCTTTACTAGATCGAAAATTTTCCTGAAGCCTTTCATGTGCTTCTTCAAGATGTTGAAACTGTTCATTCTTCCACTTGAGTTGATCTTGAACATCTCTATGCTTCTCCTCCAGTTCACATATCACCTCGTCTCTCTGCGTCAGATCCTTAGTTGTCTGTGTCCTGTCTGCAGTTTCTAGTAGTTTTTTATCTTTAAGTAATAGAATTTTCTTAAGGTCTTCAATCTCCATGTTGCTGGAATTAACTTGCGACTTCAATGATTGGGAAGTTGATGTTGCTTCATCTAAGGCCAAGACAAGCTCTTTGTTTTCTCCTTCCAATTTATGAAGTTTCTCTCCATATTCATGATGCAGCTTCTCAATTGCAGAATTAAGGCGCCTAAGAGACGATTCCTTATCTTGGAAACTTGATTTGAGGTCCTGATGGAGTTGGTTCAATGTAGATAACTCCTCAGACCTGGCACTCAGTTCTAGGGCTTGCTTTTCAGATTGCAGCTTTGCTTCCTGAAATTTAGTCACCAGTTCATTTTGAGCTTTTCTCAAGTTATTGTATAGATCCGTCTTGGTACGGATTTCTTCCTCAAGTCTTTCCTTCTGTACTCTAATTTCATCTAGTGCTTCATGAATATCCATTGTCTTTGCATCTGTCATGGTGTGTGTAATGAATCTCAAAGTTTCCTGTTTGATGACAATGCAAGAATGAAGTTATCGACCAATACAGCCACTTATTAATTTATTAAATCCTTCCAACAAACCAAGAACAAATATAAAAAAGTTAATGGCTTGCTAGTAGTCCAAAACTCTACCGTGAGAATGCCAACTACCGCTCAAAGATTTATACAATTTCCTTCTTTCATTTATGTATTTGTAGGGTTCATTTTCATTAATCCCCCTCATCAAGTAACTGGAACCCTAACAGCATCCCTATTACTTCGAACACCTATGTTGATGCTAGATGATCAAAACAAATACAACATCTCCACCCTATAAACACAAAGAGAGGTTACCTTCCAGACCTCAATGAATCTGTTAATCCACCTCTAAAACTAATTATATATCACTCGATAGTCTTTGAATCTTTACACAGTAACATTATTTTAAGGAAGTACCGTCATTTATAATTAGAAAAACAATTTTAGTTGCACCAAACAATGAAATTACAGATTAATTCCACAAAAGTTATATATTCCAATTCAACTATACGCGGAAAAAACTAACACTGTTATTAATTTATTATATATTTGTTCGTTGAAAACGAGTCAATTTAACATCAAACGTTTACATTTCTTCCAGTACATGAGTAATTGAAAGTTGAATGCAGCTCCTAAATCCCAACAAATCCCAATCCGCAAGTAACAAAATGCAAATCAAATCGAATACATAATCAGTTAAACGAAGCAGGAATCAAATGATATCACGCATCCAAAACCTGGATCCAACGAAGTTGCAAAAGAAATGGAACTCGAATTGAAAAAACCCTAGACAGAAATCAGATACCTAATAAGCTTGCACTTTCAAAATAACGAAGTGTCAACCAAATCTTACCTTCTTCGCATAAGAAATTCGAGCACAGAACTGTTATCCCGAAGTTTCAAAAGCAAGAAATCAGATCTACGAAGTTCGAATCGAAGCTACAAAAAGAGTCTGACATTTGCTTCTGTATTTTTGCTTGTACTGAAATTTTGAATTTTCCCCGCCTTTGTATCCTCAGATCTGCGTTCGTTTCTTTAAAGGTAAATTACATTAACAGTCCCTGAACTTATTTGTCTAATGCAAACTTGATCCAAAAGTTATATTTTACCCTTTTTGAGTCCTTAAAATATTTTTATCTTCTAACAATAGTCCAAGCTAAGAAAACCATGTGTTTTCTCCGTTAGTTAGGGAACAAAAGTATTTTAAGTTTAGATTTTAAAACCAAACAAAAAAAATCAAAAACTCAACTTTTTGTTGGGTTGTTGGGTGATCGTGGGTTTTCTGGTCAGTTTATGCGTACTAACTAATACTCCAGGTGATCACGAATAATTTGGAGTCATCGTAGGTGAACCTCTAGGACAACAAAGAACTTTGACAACGTCTGGACTTGTACTCGGGGGTTGATGAGATTTTCCACTATATCCCCCGAGACTTAACCGGTCTGCCACAACTCAAGTGGCTTAACCCGAGGCTCAATTTCATCAACCTGCTTCATGAAAAATCAAGTAACAATAGTAATTTGATGAACAAAATAAAATTAAAGTTCTGATATAATATCTGAATTATAAAACTATAGAACCAGATAACTTTTAAATCAAATTAAATCATAGTGAAAATTATTAGTAACTTACAACTTAAAGCTTATAAGATGTTCAAACATTAACAACAGACGTATACATTTTGTGTAGTCAAGGGATGTGCCTTGGAGCAATCGAAAAGTAAAGGTGAGAAAAACTGTGATCGGTTTGCCCTTTGATCGACCCTAATGAGGTTCGATCCTTGTCATTCATTCAATAGTTGGTTTTAGTCGTAACCATTCAGTCTTGAAAAGGGTTGTAACGCGTAATCAATGTAACTAGCTGTGATGGTAGTGTAAGTGTGTAACTAGCTGTGATGGTAGGGACAGACCTAGAATTTTTTCAAACGTTGGCACCATTTGATTATAAGAAACAAATATAAGGGGGGAAATTTTCAAACAGTGGCACCATTTGATTAAGAAAATGACAGTAACAGAATTCGTACTTGGATCTGGGGTGGAATTAAAGCCTTGAAACCCACCTCTACCAAAGAAAATATGTTTTCATTGTAGTTTCAAAATACATACAGTTGTACTTTTCACGAACCTAAAATTTTTTACCCTTCAAATGAAGAATAATACGGTGGCACCATGTCGGGTCGTCCCTGTGTGATGGACCCTAAGGCCGGTCCCTTTAACCGGATTTAAGAAAATTAACTTTTTGTCATTTCAAATAAATTAACTCATTTAACTTTTTAGGGTCGTTTATCAAACACTTATTCAGTCAGTGTTTATGGTAAAATTTAACACTCACTTAATTACCGGATAAGATTTTAGTTCACCAAAACGGTATTGTATGTAACAATTTAGCCGGAAAGCGTTAACTGTAGTGAGAATCGTTGCTCTCACTTACCGGTAAGACTTTTTTGGTCATTGCCTCACTCTTACCGGGAAAGATTTTTCATCATTACTATATTCATCCGATAAAGTAATGTGAGTTGGTAAATACTTACCCGGGTAAGGATTTAATAAACGACCCCTTAATTTGTGTTTCAAATAAACTTATTTTTAAACATTTATTTTATATAACTTATTTTAAAAATAGTTATTTTACTCCAATCATATATTGTATTTGTTCATCACTACAACATGAGAAATCATAATTAAAAAACACAAACGACATCGTTTGGTTTATAGGATTTAGTGAGATTTGGAATTGGATTATATTCCAATTCCGTATTTGGTTTAAAGGAAAGTCCTGAATTGAAATTCCGGAATTTCAATGAAATCTCACAAGCATTAGATTTAGAAATCCCGTAGGGTAATAACACCCTACTTTCTGATAACATATTTCATCATCACGTGTTTGTAAATTCATGTTGTGCCATTATTATAATCTGTTTACATATGGTGTCCAGATCGTATGATTTAGATAAATCGGTATGATTTGGTAGCTGGAGATCAAGCGAGAGATCGATATTGGTGTCCTCGTGTGCGAATAAGAGCCAATTAAGGGTTTAGACCACCACTTAAAAATTCAGAGGACTATAAAAGTTTCCAACTCTTATTTATAAAAAAAATCATACGGTCTGAAAATAACAACGTCCGACCGATTCAGACTAAAGTGGTATTAAGAGCTTTTTTTTCAAAAAACAAACAAGCCCATAATGTCCATGTTTCCCATAGACATGCTTAATTAATGTTATATTCGATTCTTATGATTTCTCATAACAATTATATCCGCGTTAATCATATTATTGATCTGTAGGTGAGCTAGTCCTACCATAGCCAGCCGATAAAGGTGCACAAAGCAATTCGTCATTACAGTTGGCTAACTTGGATTATACAGACCTAACCTTTATTCAAACAGTAGAGCTGTCGTTTCTGTAATAACCATCGGCTTACAAAAAGTGTGTGAAATAGAAAAGGCAGACAATCAAAACTATTAAAAAAACTAAGTTAAAAAGTAAGCAACTACGTACAAACAGAAACAAGTACAAGAAAAACATCAACTTATCTACAAAAACCCGATTCAGAATGTGGAAAAAAACCGACACGTTTTCAACAAGTGAGACTCGAACAAAGAAATCAAGAACAACCAATCTGGGTCATTTGCATAATTGAATTGATCAGCGTTTGTATAAAACAAGGAAACACACGAAACCACGTAGATGAACATGATCACATGTGAATGAGGCATCAAAATCATTAAAGGAGTAATCAAAGTTATTACTCGAAACAAGAATTATAAGATCGGATTGTGCAATGAATCGAGTCAAAAACATGGGTTTTATTCTATTGAGATTAACTTGTGATTCATGTATCTAAACCTGCATATCTCCTCGAAAAAATCATCAGCACTGCTGTGCCCACTTTTCATCCGAAGAATCTTGATCTTCATCTTCCTTAAATTCTTACCAAACTTCACCAAAGATTCGAGCGTGCTCATTTTCTGTTCAGCGTTCAATGGCGATCTCACAGTGATCACTACCTCTTCAAGGCAATAAATCATGAAACTTGAGTCCACCTGAAAAATCCGAACGAAGAAAAAGATTGTCCATAAATCAAGATTCTTGTTTTAGCAAGTAATCGTGTTGCTTGTAGAACTTACATTCTTTAGACTGTTCTTCTGGCATAGAGCAGCAAACATTGCACCATGGATGTCGAAAGTTTTGAGCTTGGGATGACTTTTGAAGAAGTCAACAAAATCGATTTCTGGAAAAGGGAGAAGAGCTTCAAAATCTCCAGTGAATTCCACTTTCATATACAGATGCTTCACTTCACTTGCAAGTTGAAGTATTTTGCTTATTGCATCCCAACACCATTGCACACCTCTAATGGATAATGATTCAAGTGCCATGAGCTTACCAAAGTCCACCATGTAAACTCTCCCTGCAAGCAATAAGACTCAAAATCACATCTCAAATATCTTGGCATCATGGGAATGGGACCCACAAAATGAAATTGTGAAATAGCATTAAACGAATAAGACCTACATATCCAACTGGGATTTGGGAATATGAAATCTTTTTTAAGGATGATCTTGAACTTTACCAGCATTATTCGCGATTGAAAGATTCTTTAAGCAATTGGTCTCGTGAACTCTAATCCAACTACAGCCTTGAACTTCAAGGTATTCGATCTTTGGAGCTGTGAGAGTGAGTGAGCAGCTTCCCAAACCGTAAAAATCAAGTTTGCAGTGCTCAAGCTGAAGAAGCTCAATCCAAACAGTCCTCAAACCCTCACAACCAAGAAGTACAAGGTGGGTAAGGTTAGGAGTCGCTTGAAGAGTCTCAGCCAAGGCCGAATCCTCCAATTTTGCTCCAATGATTTCAAGAGTATGCAGTTTTTGAAATTTATCCCATTTTGGAGCACGGACCATTAACACACCCCAAAGTCTTAAGGACTCCAAGTTCCTTGCAACTTCAATGCATTCAAGTTTAGATGAACTGTCATTAGACGTAATCTGATCAACAAGATTATCCATACGGAGCTCAAGATGTTTTAAGGAAGGTCCCACAAGTATCAGCCATGAAGCCAGCCCTGCACTGGTAAAGGGACAGTAAACTACAAAATCTTCCAGTTGAAAAATCGACGAGACTATCTGCAGCACAATGCAGTCAGGAATTTGACCACTTTTTAGGTTGTCGAAAATGCTACGAGGGAAATAAAGGCTCTTAATGTAGGGCATCGAGTCTTTCCACTTCTTGGAGACACAATTACAAGATGCCACATCCTTGGCATTGCTCATGTTTGACAAAATGTATTGGACAACAGCATCAGGTAAGGAGTCCATTCTCTGAGAAAATAATCAAACTTGTGCCAGTCAGTTCAAACTGAAAAAAAATTCAAGACTGTATAACAACTTTATAGTATACTTAGAAATCCCTTTAAGAAATGTCATTGGTTACACTTAATGAATATATAATAAGGTACAACGTAAATTAAAACGCTTACAAATTTAATACCAACACCATAGAACCTAAAAAAATTGTATATATCAGTGACAATTGCATCTGAAAACGAATACCTCAGCAGCGAAACCAACTTATAAACCTTTGGATGACTTCACATTAGATAAAAGTAAAACACAATACCTCATTTGAACCTCCATGGCCAAAGGGGATTTTTATTCCTCCTTGGACTTGAACCTGCTGGTACTTTTGACCTTTGGTTTGAGCTTGGCTCCAAAGGTCAAAAGTACCAGGAGGTCTCATGTTCAAATCTAAGGAGGAATAAAAATCCCCTTGTGGCCATGGAGGTTCAAATGCGGTAACTCCTGCAAAGCCCTGAGATTAGTCGGCTCGCATAGCGGGTTCCAAGATAATCACACACAAAAAAAGTTAACCTTTTTTGTACAAGTTAACACAAAATTTTGATTTGAAAACAAATAAAAGGTAACCGTAACGGTAAATTTTGAATGTACTCATGTAAAGCTCCAACGCAACAGATGATTAATACGACCTCTTCGCTTAAATCTATTAAGTTCTTCAATTTTTATTAAAAATCGAAAGTTAACTTGTTGAACCAACCAAAACCCAACAAAAATCAGATGAGAAATTTCGAAACAGAACAAAAAACCCAGAAATAGTAATCAAATTGAAAACCAGATGGAACAAATCAAATTTCAAAAAGACAAGCTTAAATGATGAAGAAGATTACTTATATAAATTCAATATTCGTGGATTGGTATATCTAATTTGCTATCAAATTTTACAGACTGTACAGAATTAACGAACAACAAAAGTATGGTAAACTATTAGAAATTAATGAATTGGAGTAATATAAGCTGTTTTAAATGGCCAGGATAATAATCAGATGACCAAATGGCATTAATTTGATGACAGACATGGCTGTGCACATAAATGTATATGTAATTACAGATTTGTTCCAAAATTTATGTAAAAATATGTCTTAATGTCTGCATATTCAAGTTCAGGTATATACAAAAAGTTAATTCAAATTTGAAGTTAGCTACCAGCCAACTTAACATCAAAATCAAGCTTTACAACTTTCTTTCATGGCAGTAGTAATTAGAACTTAAAATGCAACTCAGAAATCCATTAAATCCTACTCTGCAAGTAAGGAAATTTAAATGAAACGAATCAATGATCAGATGAACCCAAACTACAGAAGACATACAAAAAACTTGAATACAACGAATCTGCAAAACGAAATTGAAACTCAAATTGAGAAAACCCTAGACAGAAATCAGATACGTGATAAGCCTGGAGTTTCAAATTGACGAAGCATCAACCAGATCTTACCTTACTTGTACGTGAAATTGGATCAACCAAATTGTATTCCTAATTTTGAAAATCGAATAATCAGATCTCTGAAGCTTGTATCGAAGCTATAAAACGAGTCGGTGACACATGCTGGGGGGATTTTTGCTTTTATTAAAATTTTGAATTTTGCCCGCCGTTGTAATCATCAGACCCAAATCAAATATACGATCGTAAGTTACAGCAACAGTCCCTGATCTTAGTAAAAAAATGTAGATTTGATCCAAAAATAATTTCCACCATTAAAACAAGGGGTGCTTACGAGTTAGGTTGATCGGGTCGAAGATATTTGAACAATCCAACTTAATGTTTGTAGTTTGAAAATTTTTAACCCAACCCAAACCAAAATGCAACCCAACCCAACCCGTACGGGTTGGTCGGGTTAATCGGGTTGATACTTTGGTACATCAAAATATTTTTCTAACCTTAAATATGTTATTTCTCTACTCATAATTTCTTTTTCATCATCAACCATTTGATACAACTTATCCATATTTCTTACGTATATCACACATTCAGTTAATTTTCTCAATTTACATATATATGTTCACAATTACTGAATATATATACGAATAAGTTATATAGAGATGTGAATAAATTGAAAATATGTGAATATGAAGAGCATACATGATAGTGTAATTGTCTAGTGTATATATTAATATAAATTCAACAATCATATTAAAATATTTCCAAGAACTAAAATGATATCGGGTTCATCGGGTTGGGTTGGGTTCAAATAATAGTAATCCACTATCAACCCGATATCTACGGTTTGATAATTTTACAACTCGATTCGACATCGGGTTGCTTCGGGTTGAGTTATTTCGCATTGAGTTATTTCGCATTGGGTTGGGTTGGTCGGGTTGGTCGGGTTTTTGAGCACCTCTAATTAAAACCCTGATACGTCTTTCTAATCACCCTATATTAAGAGTGCTCGAAAACTCGAGGCCAACCCACCATGAAATAATCCAATTTAAAACAATTTGATATCTAATCGAGTTGTAAAATCTTTAAATCGTAAGTATCGGGTTGGAATTGGTTTACAGTCAATTAAACTCAACCAACCTGATAAACCCAATATTCTTTTATTTTTTGGATTTAATATGGTTGTTAAGTTCATATTAATATATACATTAGACGATTACGCTATCATATACTATTTTTATATACGTATATTTTCATTCTCTTCTCCATCTCTGTATAATTCTTTCGTATATGTGTTTTGTAAATGTGAAAATATATATGGAAATTGAGAAAAATAGTTGAATGTAATATACTTAAGATTTAAGGAACGTAGATAAGTTGTACCAAATGATGATGAAAAATGAATTAGGAGTAGAGAAAATAACATATTCACAGGGTCGTCTGTCCTTCCCTGGAGGAGGCGGGTCGAGCGTAAGCCTAGGGCCCTCAAGAAATAGAGGCCCAATCTCTTTTTAGTATATAGGGGGTGTTTGAAATTGCTTATAAAAATAACTTATTGACTTATTCTGGTGTGACATCGATAATAAACACTTTTGAGAGTTTGGATAAACAACTTATAGCGGTGTCAAACCGGTAATAAAAAGTTTTTGAATAAGTTAAACTCTTCTAACTTATAATAAGTTGATAAGTGTTTTTGTAGAAACGCATAAGTTGCTTCAAATAGGCAATCACAAACACCCCCATGGTATTAGTTCAAAAGAATTAATAAATTAAAAAAAAAAAAAACAAACTTTTTAGTATCTAATAGTATAGAAATTTATCAGCCCAAAGATGTATTAATTAATTATATTATAGAATAAAATATGTAAAAAATTAATTGGTCATTCATTTTAGAGTATTGTTTATTGGATATCTAAGGGGCTGTTTACCAAACGCTTACTCGGATAAGTGAACACCAAGTGATATTACCTTACCGGATGAATATGGTAAGGACCAATAATCTTACCCAGTAAGAGTGAGACAAGGACCAAGAATCTTACCCGGTAAGTGAGGGCGACGACTCTTACCACGGTAAGCGCATGAATATGATAAAGACCAATAATCTTACCCGGTAAGAGCAAGACAAGGACCAAGAGTCTTACCCGATAAGTGAGGGCGACGACTCTTATCACGGTAAGTGCTTACCGGGTAAATTGTTGCATACAAAACCGTTTTGGTGGACTAAAATCTTACTCCAATAAGTAAATGATAGTGTTAAATTTTACCCGTAAACGCTTACCCGGTAAATATTTGGTAAACGACCCCTAAGTTTGTTACATAGTATCAAAGTCTAAAACTAGCTATTTGTCTAGAAAACCTTGATATATTATTTATAATTCATCTCCTATTGACTTCTTTTATTATTCTATTCGCATGAATTCTTTTTTGTATTAGAATATACTAGATTTCTTGTTATTAACTAAGAAATACAGGATTAGAACCTATGGCCTTCTGTACCCAAAACAGATGCGCCAAAAAATGTGAGCGCTCCTTCATTATACGGCTTTTTTGCGTTGCCATATCTTAATGATATGAGACAGTCCAACTCATGTCTATATTTAAGATTAAAAGGTTGTTTGTTTACCTCTTAATAGTTTTATTAAGAGACAACATCTGAATCGTTAAGAGGTGAATCTTGTTTAGCGGAAAAAAAAAATTTGTTTCTTAATGGTTCTAAAACTCTCTGAATTATTTTGTATCTTGCGTCTCCCTTAACCATTCAGCGCCTTAATTCCATTGTAAACGATTACCGAACAATTATATTTGATTTTGCATTATATCATGAGAACCTCTTAATCATTCTGATGACTTAATTATTCTGCATCAAACCATTCAGCAACCGTCAAACAGTCCCTAACAACCCTTATTTTTTACATAGAATATTGACTATTTATTACGTAATATTGAGTGCATGAAATTTAAGTACTATTTTATCTCAAAAATAAGAATAAGATATCAAGCTATAATCAACATGGGTTTTTTTATTATAAGATTGATGGTTCTGAAAAAATTTGTTTTAACCTTAAAAATTTAAAACAGTGACGAAAAAATTAACATGGCGTGAGATAATAACCAAACTGATTTATTGATTTACATATAATGTTATTCCGAATAGTCAACATTGAGACCTCAAATAATATCTGGTCTATATATTAAAAGTTTAAAGTAGGATGTCTTTTACAGTGAAAAAGATTGATGATGTTATGTAAAAATGATATGGTAAAAAATTAATTTGAAATAATTACTTATTGATTTTGCGTTTATGAACACTTGAAAACGGTATTATATGAATTATTAGTATTTCCTGAATTCACTGTTATTTTTAATGCTGAAACAATAATTGATTTTTTTAGAATTTACCGAGGGACCTTTTTTTACATCTTGCTCAAGGCCTATAAAATTTTAGGAACGGACCTGCATATTCAGGGTTAGGAAATATATCTTGATGTATCAAAATATCAACCTGACTAACCTGATCAACTTCGTACGGTTTGGGTTGAGATTTTTCAAACTATAACATCCTATGAAATCCCGTAAAACCCTGAACACCCCTAAGGATTTCGAAATCCTATGTTTGTAGAATTTCAGTTAAATCTTATAATTTCAAATCTGAATAATCCAACAAACCAAACATTTAATTGGAATGGACTTAAAATCCAAATTCCCTCAAATCCATTTCATTTCTACAAATCAAACGGAAACTCAAATATAGGATTTGAAATCCCATACTATTTTATTTATAATATATGTAATTATGTTATAAATTAATTATTGAAAGAAATGCAAAATAATTAGGGGTATTTGAGATTGCTTATATGAAACAACTTATGTTTTTTTTACAAAAACACTTGTCAAATTATTATAAGTCAGAAGGGTTTAACTTCTTCAAAAACTGTTTATTACCGGTTTGACACCGGTATAAGTTGTTTATCCAAACATTTAAAAGTGCTTACTACTAGCACCATACTGAAATAAGTCAATAAGTTATTTTTATAAGCAATCTCAAACACCTTATTAAATATGTCCATTTGGAGTCCTAATTTTACGTGAAATTAAACCAATCAACATGTGTATTAATTATATCAATTAAACTGACACCAACTTTATTCATAACAATATCAACTGGTATCAATTTCAATCGATTAGTAGTACCATACCAAGTATGTAAACTTGATACCGACTTAATTGATACTCGTTTCAATTGAGTGGTAGTACCGTATCAAGTATGGAAACTTGGTTGATCCATGGTATTACAAATTGGGTACCACAGTAGTATCATGATACCCACTTATATAATTATTTATTAGTTTTTAATTTTTTATATATTGAATAATAAACTTCATAATTTAAATTATTTCATTTGAACATTAAAATGTTTACAAGTTTTATTTCTTGCAATTAAAAACCCTTAAACATCACATGTGTTACCTAAAAACTCAAAATGATCACTCAAAATTTGAACATAATTGGAAATTTTACATATTTGGAACTTGAAGTTGGTACAAAACCAATACGAACATGTACCAACCGAAAAAAGTTAGTACAAATATAGTTGGTTGGTACATGGTATAAAATTTTTGCATACCATTTATAATTTGTTGGTACATGATATTAAAGAAAAAAACTTGGTATCATACCAAATTCATCCCATTGTGTGTGATTTTAACCAACGTACTTAAAAAAATGTGATCTTTAATACAATTTTGAAGAAACTTTTATAATTGTTCTTAGATGATAGATCCAAACACCAACCACCCATACATGTTAAACATATTTGAACCATTATTTGTCCTGAGGTGGTACAAAAACATGTCTGCAATATGAACAAAACAATGAATAAAGTTATGTCATTAACTGTGGCCAAGTGCATGTCGTCAATCTCGAATCAATTTATCAATTGGTTTGTAGATACACAAGTTGTGTCTATGGGAACAACTTCCAGTTTTTAACGTGCTACTCGAGCTCGAGCTTAATAATTATCAAACTCGAGTTGATCTTGAACACGAAGTAAAACTCATTTAATTCAACGAGTCAAGCTTCATAAAACCAATGTTTGACCTGACTCGTTTGTAAGCTCGATTAAAATTTTCGAGTCGAGCCGAGTGATGGACATGGTTAGTGGTAACAGTGGTGGTGGGTGGGATGGATGGATGGGGTTGGGGAGGGGGCTGTTTAGGTTGGTGTTGGGTGGGGGCAGGATATGTTGTAGGTTTAGGTGGGACGTGGCGTGGCTACTGGCTAATGAGGTGGGGTAGGGCATGGTGGGGTCATGCGTGGTGTCAGGTTGGGTGGTAGTGGGTGGGGGTTGGTATGTGGTGGTTGCGGTGGGTGGTGGGGGTAAGGGAGATGGGTGGAGCAAGGATGGGGCTGGTAGAAATGGTTGGGGTAGGTTGGGAGGGGGTTGGTTAGGTTGGTGTTGGGTGGATGCGGGATTGGCTTGTAGGTTAAAGCAGGGAGGGACGTAGCTAGTAGGTAATGAGGTGGGTTAAGGTATAGTGGCGTCATGTGTGGTTCGGTTTGGGTGGTGGTGGACATGGATGGGGGTGGTTGATGATAGTGGAATTGGATGAGGTTGGTGGGTAAGGGTGGTAACATGGGCGGTGGTTCGTAGGTGGTGGTTGTGGTGGGGGTAGGGGTGGTGGTTTGGATGGAAAGGTGAGGTGGTTTGTTGGTGGGTAGTGGTGGTGCTTAAGGTTGCTGGTGAAGTGGTTGAGGGTAGGGGTGGGGATGATGGTGCTTAAGTGGGGTGGGGGCAAAAGGGCAGTGGGTAAGGAGCAGGGGTGGTGGACATGGATTATAGTGGCGCTGGGTGGGGAGGCCAACGGTCGGGAGGGACGGGCGAGGGAGGGGGCAGGGTAAGGTGGTGTTAGGTGGGGACGAGAATGGGGTGGGTAGGATAAGGTCGTGAGTGGTGTCGGGTTAGCTAGTGATGGACATGGTGGTGGCGGTGGATGGGGTTGGTGATGGGTGGTGAAATTGGATGAAGTCGTTGGATAGGGTGGTAAGGTGGGCATGGGCGGACCTGGTGTGGTGGCATGGGTAGCACGTGCCACCGTATTATTTCGCCACCAAAGAGTAAACAATTTAGGTTTGTTAACGGTGCTACCGTATTTCCCTGAAATCTAAATAATGCAACTAAAACTCAAACAAAACAAAGCCCAAATAGCCAAATCAAAATTTTAAAATGTAAAGCCCAATTGTCCAAACCAACCAAATCAAAATTCTAAAAATGCAAAGTCCAAAAAATATCAATTAATCAAATAAGGTGTTTAGCTTAGTCCAACCCAAGTGCCAACTGCCAACTGCCAACGACCCTTAAGGCTTAAAGCCCTAAGCCTAAGGCCTAAACGCGTCAACAAGAAAACATCTTTCTCATCCTTTAGTCTACTAGTTATTGAAACTAACACTGGTTTTGCCTGTTGCAACTGCTACGATTGAAAGATGTTTTTCGGGCGATGAAGCTTGTCAAGACAGATTTACGTAATCGAATTGGTGATGATTTTTTGAATTCTGTCATCATTTGTGCCATAGAAAAGGAATCCCTTAGTAATGTTAAAAACGAAGATGTCATCGATCGTTTCCAAAAGATGAAGACATGCCGAGGACAAATTTAGGAGTTGTTTCTCAATTCTATAAAAACCATACTTTTTGTGATTATTTTTTGGTATATATTGACCGTTTTCAAAAGATGAAAACGTGTTGGGTACAAGTTTAGGAGTTGTTTATCGGTACTATAAAAATCATATTTTTTGTAATTATTTTTAGATGTATATTATATTATATTAATTATATGGTGCCACCGTTTGAAAAAAAAATCTAGGTCCTTCCCTGAAGGTGGCGGAGGTAGGTGGTGGCTGCGATAGAAGGTGGTAGGGTGGTGGGATGGTAAGGGGTAGGAGCGGTGGTTTAGGTGGACATGTTTGTGTGGGTGGTTGTCGATGGCTGGTGGTAACTTGAGGTTGGTGGTAGGTTAGGGTAGGGGAGGAGAAGGGTAGGTGGGTGGGTTAGGTTGTGTTGGGTGGGGGTTATTGATGGTTGGACATGGTGGTGGGTGGAAGGATGATATGAAACGACATTTGATATAAGATGAAATTTAGGTGGCGTTTGTTTCGTAGAATGTTTTTTGGATGAAATGAAATCTGTTAAATAAATTTGACTTTGACGTAATTGGAATAGAATGTTGTCAGGTTTGACCACCTGTTTGGTTGACAGACATTGAAATGAAAGCTGTTAAGAAATTGGAATCTGTCTGTTTGGTTCACGGAATGTAGGGGTGAACACGGGTTGGGTTGGGCGGTTTACAACAATTTTACAACCCAACCCAATTATGGCGGTTTGGAAAATCTCAACCCAACCCAACTCATTCAAAAGTATAACCCAACCCAACCCAACCCAACCCTTGCGGGTTGAGGCGGGTTGGGTTGGGTTGGGTTGGGTTGGCGGGTTAGTAGTTACATAATTTGACGAATGAAATAATTCACAAATCTTAAGTTTATAGACCATACTATAAAACGTCCTATCTAAAAATGTTGCAATAGGTTTATAGGACGTTTTTTGACGTTTCAACAAGTGTTTTAGAATGATCTTTAAATAAAATGTCGTATTAGTTATTTTATAGAAACATTTTGAGAAGTGTCTCGTAAACTCATCTATTTACAGGACATCTATGCTCATATGACATTTTTTCAAGTCGTGTTGTATAAAATAACTAATACGACACTTTATATTAATAGCATCATAGAATTTGTTAAGACGTCCAAAACCATCCTATAAACATATTGGAACTCTTTTAGATAAGACATTTTTCTAATGTAACTATTTAAAAGCGTCATAGATTGATGCATTCGTCCATCAAATATCTATCAATATCATTCATATTTTCCAACATATCAATTTGTTGTTACTGCAAAAAAAAATCAATAATTTTTCTTATTAATTAAATTATTTGTCATCATTCTTTGATCGTGAATCTCTCTTGGTAACCTATACGTTTAGTTAAAATGAAACAAAATATAATATCAATAAAAATTATATAAAATTTATACATTATTAATATATATATATATAATTTTATAAAAATTATATATTTGCGGCGGGTTGACGGGTTGGGGGGTTGAGCTAGGCTCAACCCAATTTCAACCCTCCTAATTGACGGGTTAGCGGTTTGGCGGGTAGACGGGTTGAGTTTAATTGGGTTGTTAGCGGGTTGGGTTGAGCGGGTTTCGCGGGTTGACATTTTTTTGTTCACCCCTAACGGAATGTAGTTTTGGAATTAAAATGAAATATTGGTAAATGACTAAAATATTATTACCAAACTAACTATTTAAATTTTTTCGTTTTTTTGTGTAATTTCTTTAATTTGTTTATTTTTATTATAATTTGATTTATGTTTAACAACGAAGTTATTTATTTTTAGTTTAATAATATAATTTTTATCAAAATAACAATTAAGTATTTTATTAAAACTCAATGATTATCTTAATTATATTTTAAATTTATTAGAAGGTACTCGCGCAATGCAGCGAGATACACCTCGATTTCAATATTTCGTTTTATTTTGTCTTCTGTTATAATACGATTTTATATGGTACTGAAAAATTGATAATATTTTTTTTGAATAAAATATAAATTTGAAGGTATCATAAAAATTTGAAAAAAAATGTATCATTTTAGCATAAAATTAAATATTTAAAAGTTCTTGTTTTTTTTTTTATATTTTCTTTAAGTAATTGTTTATTATAATTTAATTTAAATTTAATAACGAAGTCACTTATTTTTTATTTAATAATATAATTTTTTCATAAAAATAATAATTAGTATTTTGTTAGAATTCAATTATTATCGTAAATATATTTTATATTTTTTTATATTTAAAACAAGATATCCATCCATTATTTGATTATGTTTATCTACAATTAGTTACACGAATTCAAACGTATAATTTTAATAAGCTATATATACACACAATTTACTTGTAATATTAAATTTTAAGTAATATATATTAATAAACAATATTTAATATATAAAAAATAATTTTTAAAATTTTTTATCAAATACTTTATAATATAATATAAATACAGATTATATTTAAAATAAAATATTTATTCTACATTTAATTATATTTATTTATATTTAATTACACAAATTCAATAAATGGCCTTAACAATACCCATATTATATCTGTTCCCTGGTTTGAGAGTCAGTCGTACGAAGGTGTTGTTCCGATGGAGCCCCGAATAAGAGGAGATACGTCACGACTGTTAGCTAATACTGCGACCACTCGTACTCGCCACCTGTCGATGTTTCAGCCTCGTCACCGTCGTGGCTTCCATTCTATGCATTGTCGTTAACGTCATCTCCGCCGTCCGATAGATATTCGATGGTATATTTCGATGTTACGCCGTAGTGATTGCGGTTTTTGTGATCGTTGCGGAGACAGAGTGGTCGTTCATCACCAAGGGGTGTTTTAGGTTTAACTTGTTCAAAAACTTCTTATTACCGGTATAGTATTTTTATCCACACACTCAGTTCCCAAGTTCTGGAAGGTTGTCTCTCTTGTTTTATGCGAATATTGATTTTCGTTTTACTTGCGTACAATTATGAGACACTGCAACCCTAAGGTCGTGCCTGATTGGTTTGAGTTGGCTCGAGAGGTGAAAATGCCTGGAGGTTTCGGATTGGGATTCAAATTCCCCTTGTGTCGGATCTTTCAGAAACGTATAAGATGTATGTTGTTAAGTTAGGGGCGCTGTAGATGTATGTGCTCTTGTAGAAGGGGAAAGAAAGTATGCATTGAAAGTGGTGTTTAATTGAACCATGGGGGGCCAAATTGCCTATCCAATGTTACTTTTCAACTAACATAAGGGGTCACTTTGCTTGAAACCTGTTGGTTATGCTTCTTGCCTTCTCATGTTACAATAGGGGTTCAAGAATCGGTATATATGAATAATGAATGCTCTAATTTAGTCCATATACTTGTGTCAGTTTATGTTGCTATGGTTCTATATATCGGTTCAGCTGTTGGCCTAAGCAGCTGAAAGTACAGGTGAAATCTAAATTAGCACCCTTCTGTTGAGATCCAGCCGATGACCCTTTGATTTGTTATGAATGTTAGTACAATTAGTCCTCCACTTCTCGTTACTCTATCATTAACAATGGGGGATTGTAGTTTCTTTTTTCCAGCTATGTTTCCATGATATGCAACAAGCATTTCTTGTTTTTTAACATTGTAGGATCTTGAGCGCCGCCGAGCAGAACTTGAAGCACTGCTGATTGTTGACAATCCACAACTGCCCTCTGCTAAGATGCTACCACGACGGTGAATGAGAGTAAGTGGAACTGTTCTCGACTCTTAGAATGACATACTGAAATCCTTCCATTACGTATGGAATCTGTTGTTTACTTGATGATAATCGCTAGGGAGAGATCAATGAATTCTACAAGTGATCATAGTGGCCAGACTCCTCACCACCGAGCCTACAGACTACAGTTATCAATCAGTTTTTCTGGAACAATTGTCTAGTCCCTCTTAAACTTCTTTTCTAACTTGGTATTTCTTTATAACGCTTTGCTATTCTTGCGTGACCGTTCTATTTGCATCTTTATTCTTGCGGTACTTTAGAATGGATGGCATGCATTTTGTGATCTCTTGTTTTATTTTTGCCTATGTGTTGGACTACTAGGTACACTTTTTCTTGTATCCCCATGATTGTTAGTTTGAAAGGACGTAGGCCATCTTTTTCGATTTTTTGTAAGCAAGGCGCAAACACAAACCCGAGCAAGATCTACTGATCAAACTAAATGTAAATGCCATGTTGACGAAAGGGAGGTGTACGCCATGCCATGCAAAGTCTATGTATCATTGCTTTCAATTGATCAATTTCAAGTTCATATCCCACACAATAATTATTTGATTCTTGTGTTAAAAATTCCGGTCATTTTTTTCATCTTCTTTCCTCTTATTGTTCATTAATAGAGGATGAATAATATCTCCAAGTACGAGGGTATGACAATTTTCAAGTTCTAGAGTTATTTGTCACTCTTTTTAGACTCATTTTCACCCATTCTAGTACCTATTTGGACCTTTAGTTCTTATTGATTCAAGATCAAGAATTATACTTAGAAAAAACAAGGGTGTTCTTGATGTTATTTTATAATTCATCATAGGTGATATTAAAGCATAGACGTAGACGTCTAATGGCGTGACCTAGGCTGCAGGACACGTCGTCCGCATACCACCAGATCTCCTCACGTGTGTTATCAAATATAATAAGGGTGTTTTCGTAAAATGGCGGTTTTCTCGTTTGAACATCTGCCTACATATATAAACGAAGGATCATGTGAGAATAGGAGTTAAGGTGAGAAGTGTAGGAAGGCATTTGGACCTTGATCACTTTTAATCTCAAACCAACTCATGAATTGCATACAAAATGCATAGATAGACAAAGAACAAGGGAACACTGCTAAACGGGATTATGGGTTTCAAGATAAGGGGATGTGGCTTTTCATAAGGGGGCGATGATTGCAACTGGGAATGACTATGAGACTGGAGGTGATGGGGAGACGTTGAAGAGGAGGGGCTACAGGTGGAGAAGGGTTCCGAAGGAGACCGACAAAGTCTTGTATCTGCTTATATGTATAGATATATAGATAGTTATAGATATATTTTATCTTTAATAGAGAAAAGACAAAAAAAACATGCTTAAAAGACCAAAATGATCCCTGAGTTAACTGGATTACCGAATTTATTTAACGACCGTTAGTGAGAGGGACCTTGGTCATAAAAAAATAACAACCATAGAAACCATATCCATAATTTTTTGAGTTTAAGGACGCTAGTCACAATTTATGACATACCACATGGACCAAACCTTTAAATCCGCTCATTTTTTCAAAGATGCTAATGCAGAGAGAAAAAACAAAAATGTTATTAAAGAGCGTCTATATGTACTTGGAAGATAGATTGTTTACCAACAACTGCAGGTGGCAATCTAATCCTTTGACTAGTTAGAACCGATTTTAACGTATACATGGTATAGCCAATTATACTGTTCAAAAACAAAACTTGTAGCTAGTTGTAACTGGTTGATCAGTTATCGTTCCACTTTTCATGTACTTAATATTACTATTACATATTAACAATTTTTATTATTAAATATTTATTATTACCTTAAATTAACTCTAAAACATTGTTTTATAGATTTAATAAACATGTTAAAAAAAATGTTGTTTCCACCAATCAAATATTGTTTTATTAATTTAATTATAAATACAAAAAACAAAAATGAAAACAAAAAACTTAATCTTCTAAATTTCATTAAAAAAAACCCGTAAATACTAAGTAAATAAGATCGATAAAAAAAAGGGAAGTTAATTAAAATGACTATTTTCAAATGTCGGTTTCATCTCTTAATCATTTCTCTCCTAAAATTACCAATATTTCACTAGGTCCGCAAGTGACAGAGCTGCAATTTACAGAGGGGTCAAAGTGAAATAAAAAGTTTCCAAACCAAATCCGCAAGTACAGAGACCAAATCTATAAAGTAGTCATAACACCTCCACAAATTACGGACCTATATCTATTTTACAGATTTGGTCGTGCTTCAATTTTCACTTTGAGCCACCATGAATTGCAAACCTGCCACTTGCGGACCTAGTGACTTTTTGGTGATTTTAGAAAAGAAATTGCTATGAGGTGAAACCACAAGTCAAAAATGGCAATTTTAATTAATTTCTCCACAAAGTTACTAAAAAAAGGAACTCCATTGACCAATCAGATACCGACACATGATAAAAGAAAATCAATTGATCTGTTAACAAAATTCCCGTCCCAACCGGTCCTCTCATAACCGATCAGGTCCGGGCCTATCCCTTTAATCGGTAATCGTTTTGGTTGCCCACCTCCACCAACGAACGTACCCAAATATCCTTTGATTATTCGGTACAATAACATTAAATCTTCATAACTAAGTCATCCTACTTCTGAACGGTAACACTCATTCAATAATGCTCCTCTTACCTTTACGTTAATACTTTTGCACAAGCTAGGGGTCTTAATATAAACAATCGCTCTGTCCTTTTGGGATAGAGGATAGATATGCGCACATCTCACCATCCATACCATACTTTCAAGAGAATGGATGATTCTATTTTCAATGTTGGCTGCTACGTTAAAGTTTCCATAAAATTGAAAAGATGGTACATGGAATTACTGAAACTGTAGAAACAATTCTAGCATCAACAGTGGTAATTACATCTATCAGAAGTTGAATACCGATGGATCAAAATCCAGTTTTTCATACAAGCAAATCTAAAGAATTGATTGATCTCTCCCTAGCGATTATCATCAAGTAAACAACAAATTTAATACGTAATGGAAGGATTTCAGTATGTCATTCTAAGAGTCGAGAACAGTTTCACTCACTCTCATTCATCGTCGTGCTAGCATCTTAGCAGAGGGCAGTTGTGGATTGTCATTTGCGTCATGGGTTGTCAACAATCAGCAGTGCTTCAAGTTCTGCTCGGCGACGCTCAAGATCCTACAATGTTAAAAACAAGAAATGCTTGTTTCATATCATGGAAACATAATTGGAAAAAGGAAACTGCAATCCCCCATTGTTAATGATAGAGTAACGAGAAGTGGAGGACTAATTGTACTAACATTCAAAACAAGTCAAAGGGTCATATCCGGGTTACTGGTAGAGCCAGGGTTCAAACCTCACCAAATGTGAGGAGTGTGCATAAGTATTTTTCATAATAAATATTATATACTACAAAAAACATTCATAACAAACCAAGTAATTTATTTTTACTGGGTAATTAACTTGAATAGCGCACCTCTAGATCTTTAATTGCTTGCTGTGTGGTAATTGCTTTGTTTTGGCGTGCACGCTTGAGAAAACCGATGCAGAGGACTCCCTGAAAATTTCCAAAATTTAGAACAAGCAATTGACCAGCTTACAAGTTGGTGTTATAGGAAAACTTGAAAACACTAATTTTCTTTAAGTTACAAAAGTATAGCAAAACAGGAAACAGAAATGCATGTAACTCAAGGGCATAATGTATGAGAAAAAACACCTTGTATCAGATTCGACACAAAAAGAATAACTTCTCTCAGTCAACAACATATGCGTTTAAACACGAACCACATGAAGTTGTACTAAATTATGCAAATGAGGGTAGATATTAAACTCATATTGAAAATGAAAACACTAAAAAGCATGAGTTCATTGGATATGGGGCAAGATACACTGCAATCAGTTTACCACTTAATAAACCAGGGAGTTCGTAAAACACGGTTAAGATAGTTAAAGTTGAAAAAATTTCTGTCTCGTCTTATCTTCTTATAAAGGGTTGCCTTCCTTCAATGCATTTTTACTACCATTGATTTCACAAAATACAATAAAATCCTAGAAACCTCCATTGATTTATGGAAAATTGCTAAACCACATAAGTATCATGTTCATTTTTTTTGCTTCTGCAATCACTATTGTGTGTGTGACTATCAATTGTCAACCCTAACATAATTTAGTTAATCCCAGATGAATTCTAGGATCCTTTTCCAATAGCATGCTTACTATGTACCAAAAAGTAATCATTCGCCATTATTTAGAGCTCTGCTTGATATTGTTCATTTGTCTTACCGAAATAACGTATATCAGGCCACAAGAAAGGAGCGTGTAACTTGCTATGTCCCTGAGAAGGAGAACCTCATGCCGCTCCCCATATACCTCAGGATAAGCTCTTGTCATAACAGCAACACTGAAGTAAAATAGAACCAATAATTTCCATGAGATATATTAGGTAGCAAGAATTCAAAAAGGCATATAGTACTCCTTCAGGTCCCAAGTCAGTATCCCCTTTGACTTGGAACACCTATTCTGTAAGCTAAATAAACATATAAACACCATGTAGAGGTAGTTTTTACTTATGTCCTAACTGGATCTCAACAGAAGGGTGCTAATAAATTTTGTGTAGGATACCAAATAAGTCTTGAAAGCCCTTCTGAAGAAGGATAAATGGTTAAGACCTAAAATTATGTTAAATGTTCAAAAACATCAAGACCGATATATTTCAAAAATTAAGGACTACAAAATGTTTGATGTCATGAAGAGGTCACATAGGAAAGAGCATCCATTAAATAAATAAACATGCATAGGGAGCATTATCCTTACAATTTGTGTAAGAATTTGTTTTGGAAGGAACACATGCTACATGATACATACAGCCACTGAAACTGGTCAATGACAATAAGAAAAATGACCCTCAATGGCCAATGAAGAAGAAACTGTTATCCATTGTTCTCAGTTGTGCCAACAAAATTTTATGCAGGCATCATTTTTATGAGCACTTACAACGTGATTCACGTTTGCATTATGATCAGATGAAAGATATGCAACTCGGAGATCATGCATTGTATACTTTGAATGGAAATCATATCAAGTACCCAGAATAGGAGGCATATATTATAATATTGTGGATAGGGTAGACAATGTGATCAGGCTATTGACTTTATCAGGCAAAAGCATTACTTGATTTAGCAATATGGAGCTTTGAATATATGTGGAAGGCATCAAAATGTTAAGTAAAGTAAATTTGGGCTTACAAGATTTGCAGCATGCCCCTGCCTGCCCAATACTCCAGCACCTGCAACACGTTAATGAAGCTTGAATCAGCAAATTGGAAAAGCTCATAATGGTAAGAATCTGACATCATGGCAGTACTATATTTGAATCATCTACAAAGGACTAATTCAGATTTCACCTGTACTTTCAGCTGCTTAGCCAACACCTGAACTGATATATAGAACTGTAGCAACATAAACTGATAAAAGTATATGACTAAATTAAAGCATTAATTATTCATATACTGATTCTTGCATCCCTATTGTAAACAATGTAAAGTGACCCCTTCTGTTAGTTGAAAAGTAGCATTGAATAGGCAATATGACCTTGCATGGTTCAAGTAAACAACACTTTTAATGAATACTTGCTGGCCCTTTTACATGAGAACATAAATCCTAAATTAGAGCATTGACCATTCATATCCTGATTCTTGAACCCCTATTGCAACATGAAAAGAGGAGGAAGCATAACCAATAGGTTTCAAGTAAAGTGATCCCTTCTGTTAGTTGAAAAGTAGCATCAGATAGGCGATTTGGCCCCCATGGTTCAATTAAACACCACTTTCAATGCATGCTTGCTGGAAACTTCTACAAGAGCACATACATTCTATCAACTGCAGAAGCCCCAAGATTAAAATGAACAGTACCTTGAAAAGCCTACTCCAAATACAGAGATCACCAACACATCCAACAATAACTTAATTGGGTCCTATTTTCTTTTAAATTTCGTTTGTTGGTCAAGAGTCCCATTTCGGACCATAAATAGTTTCGAGGAAATTAAAACAAGTATGCATTATTCAGGAAAATACTAGTACAACTATCGAACAATTTGGCTTACAGATCCTTTGGACAGGATGAGGAGAACATTGCATATCTCCTTGGTCTTTCCTTTATAATCACCAGACCATTCATCCAAAGAGGCATGTAAGAACTAAGAACATTCCATCTACTCTTGAATCTTGATCCAACTCCAACTTCTCTAGGTTTGGAGTTCAGATGACACGTTATATATTAATCTACATACTGTTTGGCGCTTGCCCTATTTTATCTGGTTCTTCTTCTCCGTATTTACTTAAAATCGTCCTACAAAATAATACCATGCCACAGTGCTATTATTTGCGTTTGGTATGCAATGAATGGGCGGTTGCAGTGTTCCCCAAACCTTATCCATGACTCCATGGATTTCTCCAACTTTTTGCTTTAAGTTTTAATGTCAAGGTAACTCGCAAACTAATCTTCCATTGATGATGTATACAGTTCCTCATAATTGTACGCAAGTTAAACGAAAATCGATATTTGCATAAAACAAGAGAGACAACCTTCCAGAACTTGATGATGAACGACCACTCTGTCTCCGCAACAATCACAAAAATCGCAATCCCCACGGCGTAACATCGAAATATACCATCAAATATCTACGGAAAACATAACACAACAGCAGTTTTAGCTAGGAATGTATCACTATACGTGTAGAGAAAGAAAAACAGATAAAACGGCATACATCTGATACGTTTCTGAAAGATCGGACGGCGGAAATGACATTAACGACAATGCATAGAATGGAAGCCAAGACGGTGACGAGGCTGAAACATCGACAGGTAGCGAGTATCGGGTCGGGTTTGGCCCTGATTCTGGTGTTGTTGCCGGTGGTGTTTGATGAACTAGTGGTCGCAGTATTAGCTAACGGTTGTGACGCATCTCCTTTCTCGATATCTCTCGCCATATTTTCCGGCGAACTTCTCCGGTTCCCGGAACTACAGAACCGCCGGTTATCGAATTAGGAAAAGGGCTTTCGGGGGTTGCTTTCTCTCCAGCGGGTTTTGGTTGTCACGGATCGTTATTGGTTAATTTCGGTAAAACGGATCAGTATAAGTTAGTTTGGGTAAATTACATTAATTTCCCCTGACTTATGTTTAATCTACAGTTTACATCCCTTTACTTTGGAAGTTGCCATCATTTTGCCTAAAACAAACTATTTTATCCCTATTTGGTTTATCATAGTTAAATTGATTTAACGATGTCGGAAATTTAATTACATCGAATCTACTATTATTGTTACATTAAAATCTTGTATAACATCTGACCGTTAAGACGTTGGATGTGATGCAAATATAACTATAATCTATTTTCGTTGTTTAGCAAGTTTGGTTTAGTGACACATTCCTATGGTGGCTGATGAAAGTTTTGCATACATCTAGTGGTGGTTAGAAACGTGTTTTCGAACCATTTCCTTGGTCATGAGTTTAACTAAGGATGGTGGGGAACCCGACTCACCCGACCTGAACGAGGACGAGGATTCCTCGTGAAAACGGGTCTCGAGGCCGGGGCCTGAGATCATCGGTAGACTCAAACTGGTATTGGGGTCGGGGCAGAGTATTGTACCTCCCGCCCCGTACTCGTTATACTATATTCATTTAATAGTATTTGGGCTTTGGAAATTCTGATAGTGGATCTCTGTTGTTGACTTGCCGTTAGACTTCAAATAATACGAAATTAAAAGGAAATGGTCCAAATGGATCCATTGACCGGTGTTTGACGGGGGACGGGATGTTAGTCCCTGTACCCACCGGGGAGCGGGACCAAGGCCGGGGGCTGTTGCTAAAAACCGGGGTTGGGGATTACAAAATCCGCTCCATCCTCGCCCTGTTGCCATGCCTAAGTTTAACATGGAATCACCAAGTGTTCGTTTGGGATTAGGTTCTATTTCAATCTTATGTCTGGTTTAAAGAAAAGTTTTAAATTGAAATCCCACAAATATTGAATATAGAAATCTCATCAAGATAGTTGATATGTAACGAGATTTCATCAGATTTGTTGCGATAATGCTTTAAAATATGTTAAAACACTCTCTTGTAATTGTTTATAATTTGTTTATATAAATTATCTATAAAGAATGAAATTCAATTTCATCCCAAATTTTACAAACATAACAACATCAAATATTTCAAATTATTTCACAAAATCCAAATTCCTCAAAATTATTCTGTCAACCCAAATACCACCTTTATGGGACATTTGGTTTGACAAAATATTTCGAGTGGTTTAGATTTCACTCAAGATTTGAATTCAAAAATTTTGGTGTGTTTGGTTCGTAGGATTTGAAATGAAATTGAATTTCATTCTTTATAAATAATTTGTAAAATAATTAAATTATTTTTTTATTAATTGATTATTACAAAACAAATGTTTTTTAATATATTTTAAAACATTATAATCAACGGATGAAATACCAACCGCTCCCATAGAATTTCAAAACCCTATGTTTGTGAAATTTCAAATCAGAAATTTTTTGAAACCAAATATAGGATTGAGATTAAATTCAATTCCAAATTCAGTCAAATCCCGCAAAACAAACGGGACCATGATTTTTTATAGTATCAATTTAAAAACATTTCATAGCATCAACCATCAACCACTGTCACCCAACTTAAAATCAACAACATTAAGGGGTCGTTTACTAAATGCTTACCAGGTAAGTACTTACTGAGCAATTTTCCTTACCAGATAAACATGGCAAGGGGCAAAAATCTTACCCGGTAAAAGCGATGATAAGAATGGAGAGTCTTACCTAGTAAGTGAGGTTGACGACTCTTACCCGGGTAAACGCTTACCAGGTAAATTGTTGCATAAGATACGTTTTGATGTACTACAATCTTACCCGATAAAATAAATTATAATGTTGACTATTAATGGTAAGCGCTTACCGGGTAAGCATTTAGGTAAACGGCCCCTAAGACCAACCTGTAGGTTTATGTATAGTTAATGGAACCAATATTATAAGTCATTCAAAAGTAGAGTTATACACGGGTGTGACTGCCCGCTAGACCTGTCCTGTCTGGCTCACTAGAAAGCGTGCTTGGACTACCATGTTCGAATAAATGGATGTGTCCGAACTAACTTGTTTAAATTAATGGACAAACATGGATGGGGGTGTTATTCGGGCGGTTAAATCGGTTTTCAGTTTATTCAGTTTGGATTAATTGGTTTTTAACTGTTTTTTAAACTAACCAATAACCAAACCAAATAAGGTTCAGTTTAATCAGTTTTAGGTTATTCGCTTCGGTAACTGGTTAAACCAAATAAGAATTCATATTTTTTGTTGGACACTTGCTAAAATAATTTTTTCATAAGTCAAAAGGGTTTAACATCTTTAAAAAAAATTTATTACTGGTTTGACACCGGTATAAATTGTTTTTCTAAACAATCAAAAGTGTTTATTACCGAATAAATCAAAAAAGTTGGTTTTTATCCAAACACCCCTTAAATATAAAAGTATTTTTGTTCCGCAAATGGTGAGCTCTATTCACTCGTCCAAGAGAGTTTCAACACGAATCTCCAGGAAGAAAAATGGAGAGGAAGGAAGAAGTTGGAAAAGAAAATGGAAATTCAGAAGAAGGATCACAAACCCTAAGAGATGGTTCGATTTGTGGATTTGAATCTCTTTCTCGTCTCCTCGAATCGTCCCTTTCTCCCCAAGCTTTCAAGGTAACTATCGTGTGTGTGTGTTTCTACCGACTGCACGAGTGTTTAATCTTTGTTTATTAATTCGTTTGAGTTTCATTGCTTCAATCGGATGGATTGATGCTTGCTATGTTTCAATTTTATTGTATAAATCGGCTTACTCTTTTCAGCGGAGTTAGTGAAAACTAGAACATTGATTTGATGGATGATTGCTTATGATTTAAGGCCAAATAAATTAGCGTTGATCTGTATTTTACGGTTAAGGCAGAGAATGAACTGGGGAATTGAATTTACTAAATGAAGGTTACAATCAAGCTATTTATACACCAACACTTATCGAAAACTAACAGTTACCAAAATTGAACTCTGATAACAGATGTAGTTGACCCGCAAATAACCTGTTTATGATCTCATAAGGAGATTAAAAGTTGATGTTATGTACTTCTCTGAGTTCTTTCGTTTTTGAAATTTGAACTATGCCTGTTGGATTCAAGGTTGATATGGATCTATTATTAAATTCTCGAAAGATGCTGCACGTCGACTTCTGAAGTCAATTGAGTTGCAGTTCATTCTCAAATTGGTATGGGTGTTTAATTTTTTCTGGGAAGTGTTTCTTAACTAGTTAAATTTTCATAACCAGTACTTAAATGAAGTAATCCTGAGCAAAATCCAATTCAATTTTGTGATTGTGCAATAACTGATCTGACACAATAATCGAAGTGTAGGCCATATTCTGAAAGGGAGAGACGAACGTGGATTTAGATGGTTATCAAATATCGCTATTACTTTATACTTTGTAGGTCCGTGTCAAAATTTGAAGTCGAAAAGTAGTAACGTAAATCACTTGTAAACTTCTTTTTTTGTTTTCTTGGTGGGGTAAAGGGAGAATCTATCCTTTCAACACCTTTAGTCTTGAGTTCTGGGCCCTATGGCTATTCTTTCTAGGTTCTAGCACTTCAATTCATTTTTAGTCTCCAACAAGACTTATATTACATAATAACATGAGAAATGATTAATTTGACCATGAAAGTAAAACAATAAATACTTGTGGGACAAAGGTAGCATGAAATTGCTGATCATTTGGAAACTAACAATGACCAGAAGTCACCTGGATGATCTTGAAGAGGTGCAATATGTACAGGAATTGTTAACCCTACAAATCAATCACTTAAGAGTTCTTTTTTAAATGCTAACAATCAGAAATGATACTGTCTGTATAGAATTGGGAAATCCTGAAAGTATTCATAGCGGTATTAGGCTTGCATTTATATTTTTCGCTAATCTGCATTAAATAAGCCAAAAATTGTTGGTCTGGTCTTGATCCTGCATTATTTTTCACTTGTTTGAGGAGTTTTAAGTTCTTTATTTAGTTACGCTCTCCCCATCCTAAAATAACTACATCAACTTCTTTTTAGGATTTTCTATACTAAATGAAACATTTTTCCTTTGGACAAAACTCCAATCAAATCTACCTCTTTACCCATCAACAGTCATTACAAAATTACAAATAGCAAGCATCGTAGTCCACAGATTCACATGTTTTCTATTTTAGGTGTTTATTAATAGTCAAACAATCCATTCATGTATATAATGCAACAACTTCGGTTGCTAAATTAAACTAAGCAGCCCTTTTCTCTAATACATAATCTTAAGATAAGCAACCACAAGGGTGGTGCCTGATTGGTTTGAGCTTGGCTCCAAAGGTCAAAAGTACCAGGAGGTCCCAGGCTCAAATCCAAGGAGAAATAAAAATCCCCTTGTGGCCACGGAGGTTCAAATGCGATGACTATGGGCTATCTGCAAAGCAGGTGGTCGCCCTGGGATTAGTCGGCTTGCATAGCGGGTTGGATATCCAGGTTAATCAAAAAAAATCTTAAGATAAGCAAGGACAAAGGGAATATCTTAGGGCGATTTTGCATTGTTAGTTTTTGGATTGTGTTGTTTTCTTGATGATGTAAATTGCAACTCTTTTGCAGGAGGTCAGCCGCATGCTTATTGGACTGAATTGTGGAAAAGCACTTGAGCCCTTGGAAATAGTAGAAACCGCCAAAGGGTTGTCTTCACAACATGATTTTGATATTCAGGTAGGCAGTTATGTCCAACTGCTCCATCTGGACAGTTAAGTAATTACTTAATCATGTAACCAGTAGCGAGTCAGGGAATTCTTTTGCGGGGGTGTAAAATCTTTTATTCCCCCGTACACAAACTTACTTGGATCAATATGTTATGTAGTTTCAGTTAACTATATAAGGGGAAAAGTATCCAAGTATACTCGGGCTACATACAAACCAAATTTTGGAATGGGATCAAAAGAATTAAATTAGAAAAATGACTAAAAGAGCCAATGTATTTTAGTTTCACTTTTTGACATGTCATTTCTCATGATCATTCTAAATAATTTACTTGTGACCTGATCTATTACTTGGATTCTCTTCTGCCAGGAATGTTAACTTGCTTTATTGAAAACATGGAACTCACTTATTTAGGCCACATACCATTTTCATTTTGTGGTTCTCACTTAGACTTGGGTGCATCCACATGTACACCCATTCAACTCATAGGTACAAGTGTTGGTCACAAAGTACCAGTGATTTCTTTTGGTTCTTGATAAGGTGACTTGTACTTCTGCTCCCATGGGTATGCCTGTAAAATGAGAAGCAAATCTTAACCAAACTTTTGATTCCAAGCAAGACCAAGAACTCATAAATAGCACCATGATAAAGTTAAAATCAAGCGTTACTAGTGAATTTTATAAAATTCGCTTACAGAACAGTAAAAGTTAAATCAGAGGATATTGTACGAAATAACTATATTGTTTATTTGAACGTTTAATTTATATTTTACTTAAAGCATTGAGGGAAGATTAGTAACCGACAATATGTAATAATTACGTCTACATCTAGCCAACAGGTTGGGTCCAAAAGTATCTACAATTTTTGGAATCTCAAAGTGATCACCCGGTACCCATATGGTTTGTACACACACTCCTGGTATCCACAGGTGTGGGTGAATTTTCCCATGTCTTCTTCCACTTATATGATGCGTGAATAATGCAGAGAAAAAAAGAATATGGGACCCAAATAATGATGAAGGAAACTAGAATGAATTATATTATATAATATTTTTGATAATGATTAGAAATGACGGTTCATTGTGGTACTTTGTCAGAAACAGATCTCTTTATATAAATGTATGATCCATTAATGGTTTTCAATTTATGTTGCAGGCATTCAGCTTTCATGCCGACAAGGAATTACTGAGAGAACCTCGTGTAGTGCGAGTTGGACTCATTCAAAACTCCATTGCTGTGCCAACAACTGTACCCTTTCTTGAGCAGAAGAAAGCTATCTTTGAGAAACTGAAACCCATCATTGACGCAGCAGGTGCGTCAGGGGTCAACATATTGTGTCTACAAGTGAGCTCCAATATAACACTTAACTCCTGTTGATAAACTTGGTTTCCCTTGATCTTTGAATTAAGCCACCACTATATAACTGAAATACAGGAGGCATGGATGATGCCTTTTGCATTTTGCACTCGTGAGAAAAGATGGTGTGAATTTGCTGAGCCCATAGATGGAGAATCAACACAATATCTTCAAGGTTTTGCAAGGAAATATAACATGGTCATAGTAAGCCCAATACTCGAGAGAGATTTGATACATGGGGAAACTATCTGGAATACGGCAGTTATAATTGGGAACAATGGTAACATAATTGGCAAGCACAGGAAGGTAACTTTTTCTTAATTTATTTCTATTTTTTATCAAGCGAATAACTTTTTGCAAACAAATTATTATTGTTCTTATGAAACGCGAAATGAACGCATTGAAACACAGCATATAAGTGAGGATTTTGAGTGAACTGTGAAAATGTAAATGCAAAAACCATTACATCATTTTCTTTCAAAATACTGTTCTCTTTGTGATTTCAGAAAAATGATTGTGTGTTCGCAGTTAGAAGCCAAGTTTAATGGTTTGAAATAGTTACTCTTTACTCTTCATCTTCGTAATGCTAAAAAGTTCTTGCAACTCAAATGGCAGAATCATATACCCCGGGTTGGAGATTTCAATGAGAGTACATATTATATGGAGGGTAATACCGGACACCCTGTGTTTGAGACAGCCTATGGAAAGATTGGTGTCAACATATGCTATGGAAGGCATCATCCTTTAAACTGGTTAGTTTTCGGCTTAAATGGTGCAGAAATTGTCTTCAATCCATCTGCCACTGTCGGTGAACTCAGTGAGCCAATGTGGCCCATCGAGGTACTGTCGTATTCTTCACTTTGTTCCCTTCTCTTAGGAGCATTTGTCTTTCTTACCGAGTTACCGGTCATACCTACATCTACATGTTTAAGCTGCTATATACATTACTTCTACTTGTATTATATGTTTTACCTTCTAACATAGTCTACTTGCACACCATTGAATCGTGCTCACACAATCAAATCATTATTTCTACCTGTTATATTTCTCGATTACCTGTTATGTTACCTATCTTATTGTCTGCTTGCACACACCTTGCGTCGTGCACAAGCCGGGGTTCTTCACGGAAACAGCCTCTCGATCCCAGTGGTTTCCAGTCTCTACTTTTGAGTATATACTGGTTTGGTTTGGTTCATTTGTCTTTGTAATGCAAATGAATTGTTGCTTTTGCGAAAATAACATATACACTTGCAAAAATGAGCGATTATGGGCAAAAGGTGACAACTATGATGGTTCAACCTGTTTATTCTTGAGAAAAGTTTTTGTTGGCATTTCTATCAATGAAAAGGGAAGCACGATGGTTCAAGAAGTCAGCACGGCCTTTTCTTTAACTTGAATCGCTCTGCACACTTTTTCTTTCCAGGCACGAAATGCGGCAATAGCAAATAGTTACTTTGTAGGGTCCATCAATCGGGTTGGTACGGAGGTATTCCCGAACCCATTCACATCAGGAGACGGAAAGCCGCAGCATGCAGATTTTGGTCATTTCTACGGTTCAAGTCATGTTTCGGCACCAGATGCTTCATGTACACCATCTCTTTCTAGGAACAGAGACGGGTTGTTGATATCGGACATGGATCTTAACCTATGCAGGCAGTTAAAGGACAAATGGGGGTTCCGTATGACGGCTAGGTACGAATTATATGCCGACATGCTTTCGAGATACGTGAAGCCCGACTTTGAGCCCCAGATCATTTCCGATCCCCTGTTGCATAAGAACCATCTCTGAAAGTCGAAAAATGTCGTTCAAGTGTTGACAGTTGAAAATAGGTTCTGGGGTCTTGTAAAGAAAAGCATTTGTGTATTATGGGATGATAATCATTATGCAAAAGGAGTTTGGTGTGATGTTCATTTAATAATTTTGTAATTTGCAACTCAAAATAATGTTTGGTTGGTTTGTGTATGTGGCCTATTTAGGGATGTTTAATCACATAATTCGTGGTAGTTTTTGTATAGGGTTGTATAAAAACTCGATCAGTTAACTGATCTGTCTTGCATTCAACTTGTAAAATGGATCGATGATCTCACTTGTAAAATGCGTTTTATTGTTTTGATGACTTTTATTTAATTTTTAATTGAGTTGTTGAGCTTTTGGTTCGGTTTTGACTTAAATGAGTCTTGGGGACTTTTTAGTCCAATTTAAATTTCTCTATGTCGAACTTTTGGAGTTATATGCATTTGTGGCATATTTATTTGTAAATTACTTTTTTTAGGTGTGTTGGTCATGTATTTGGAGTCATGTAATTTAGACTGTGCATTTGTGTCAGTTGTGTTTTGTCAAGTAAGCAGTTTTGATGTTCTCAGTTTGAGCCCTTTGGTTACAATAAGAGAGAAGCTTTGATGTTCTCTTTTTGGTATATTTTGTTCGGGACAAATGAGGAGTTTTGATATTCTCACTTTAGAACCTTTGATTGTAGGCAAGTGAAGAGTTTTGATGTTCCTATCTTATAACTTGGGGAATGACTAAGTAAGGAGTTTTGATGTTCTTATCTTAGCCCCCTATAGAGTAATTGCCAAGGCATGTATGATGGGGGTGATTTACTCGTCAACATCTCGATGTAGCTTACTTAGTGTTCCATCACTTGATGGAAACGGGTCTCTCCCGTCATCGAAAGGTGTTATTTTTGGATAATGTATTATTCGTGTCTTTGATGTTATTTTGGGAACATAGTGCATTCATACTTTATGTCTTGATATCTTGGAACTTATCCATGTTTTATTATTTGGGCCATTGAACTTTATTCATGTTCTTTGGATGTTTTATCCATGTTTTTAGTATTTGAAATATAAATCTCATTCACATTTTGGGTGAGTATTGAGTTTTGACTTTCTGCTAAAATAGGTGATTTGGTCGCCAAGTTTTCATCATGAAAATGACAATCTTGTGAAAGATGTTACTTTTATGTTAAATACATTTCATTTTGGAATTGTGGTTTATATAACGTCTTTGCTTGTCTTACTATTTTATATTAACGATGAAAACTGTTTGGGAGAAAGGTACTGGCGTCACTGTAATGAGATGTGTGCTAGCTAAAGGCACGAGAAAGAATTCCTATCTAGGGGACATCTTTTATATGAGTGGAGATAGTGGCTTGTGTTGGGGCTCAGTAACAACCGTTCCCATTTATAGACTTGTGTAAGAGTTGGTTTTTGTACCGTTCATGGTGAATCTAGACTTTCCTTTTTTAAAGTAATCTGCGTATTGATTTCTAGAAAGAATTCATCCTCTATGTGAGGCTTTATTGAAAATTTTAAATTAAGTCGTTTTTTTTTTCCAAATTTAAGGGTGTTAAAAGTTGGTATCAATAATGGTGGGGGAGGGGAATAAGGGTTGTCTTATAACAAACAAGATACCTCATCTATCAGACGTGTTTTAAAATTGTGAGTCCAAATGCATGGACAAAGCGGACAATATATTATACGGTTGACCTGTGATGTTACATATGTGAAACAAGAGATCCTGTTCTAGAACCCCTTGGTGAAACATCAGGCAAGTTTAATTACTATGTCCTATACAAGGATTCACCTCCTAAGCCAATGCCGACCCTTAAGGCCAGTCATGCTCCATCTTCTCATGTTCCCCCCAAATCAGTGTCAAGGAGAATGTTATGTTATAACTCCAACGACCTCATCATCCGAATACCAAGTTGAATTTCCACCATTGAGCTCCTCTAAAAGAACACCAATCAAAGAACCAAACACAATTGGAGGATCAAGAATCCTACAACTGTTAATGTTTATAGTGATGAAGATTTTTGTACTAATGACAATAGATTAATATACACATGGACAGTTATAAAAAATAGACAGTTATAAAACATTAATATACACATGGATGGTTATAAAAAAGACAGTAACAAAACATTAATATACACATGGGCACTTTACAAAACATCCACATCTTTATGAATTTTTTTTCAATAATATCATTGTTCATATATGTTCATCTTAAACGGTAACATATTATATTATTAGTTATTACAAAATTATCATCATAAATATTATCCATTAATTTATAAAATAAATGACTTATGATAGGTTCATAAAGTTAACATCATAAATTGGATTAATAAAATTATCCAATGATAATATGGTAAATATATTTAAAATCATCCGCTGTATATTTTGAAGTTTTTGCCATAAAGACCATTAAAAACTGGATTTGGTTTCAATTCCAATGAGAAGGGGGGATCGCCTTCCTGGAAATGGAGAACAAGAAATCTGCTTCGTTTCCCGTAGACTTCATGGCATTCAACCTCTCATTCAGCTCCATGGAATAAGGATTTATAGAAATTAAATTAATCCTCAGCTGATGTAGCAGAGCATGAACGAATCTCCGATCATTTCTCTTCCAATCGACGCCGCCGCCGCCGCCGCATCCAGAATGTTCGAACCTACCAGCAATTCTTCCACCACGACCGTCAACGGTGGTGTGAAGCGCATCAAGAACCGACAGCCGCCTTTAACGGTCCCAGCCGGCTGCACCTGTTTCCGCCTCCTCTGCCATGCCTCCCGCATTGGCGGTGTTATCGGAAAATCCGGAGCTATCATCAAGCAGTTACAGCTGGAAACGTCAGCCAAAATCCGGGTGGAAGATCCGCCGCCTCGTTCCGACGACCGTGTGATCACCGTCATCGCCAATAGCTCAGTGAACAAAAGGCTATCGTTTGGTGAAGACGATAATCGTGATGTAAGTAGTGAATATAATGAAGTTTCAGCTGCACAAGAGGCGTTGGTTAGGGTTTTTGAGAGGATTTTGCTTGTTGCTGCCGAAGCCGATGGAGGGCATTTTGCCCCTGGAGGTGTGGTTTCATGTCGATTACTAACAGATAAGAGTGTTGTTGGTTCTGTCATCGGAAAAGGGGGAATAGTAATCGCAAAGATCAGAAAGGATACTGGGTGTAAGATTAGGATATTAGTTGATGATAAACTGCCCTCTTGTGCACTGCCTACAGATGAAATGGTGGAGGTTAGCATATCCTTTTAATTGTTTGCAACAAATTCATCAACTTCAAACTGTTTGATTTAAGTCCAACAAGAAGTAATCTATATATATACATACCAATTTGTCCGGTATGCACTTATGATAGTAACCAGGAAACATCTTCACTTCCTTGTATTCACTTGTGCATAGTGTACAGATAAATGGTTATTAGGTTGTTCCTAGGTTTTTCATTTTTGTTTGGAGGTTTTCCCCTGAAACCTCACTCTACATATGAGCATTTTGATATCCTGTGATCCTGCTCTGATATCATGTTAGTGTTGTTGTGAAGATGTTAAAGAAATGCTATTGTTTGCAAAAAGCAATCAATTTTGGGCATATTGGGGACATTTGAATGCAAAAAAGGAACTTCTTATTTTGCCGTTTTTGTCGAAAATTACTCATTGTTGCAAAGGGTAATGTTCTTTTTCGCACTTTGTTAAAATATGAATCTCTATTTGACAGAAAAAGAGTGATTGACAAATCATTCATAAATGAATAAAGAATGATTTTGGACAAAAAAGATTACCATGTTTGAAATTGCTTAAATTATTACAAAGCTAGTCTTCTTCTTTTTCAAGATTTATGATTTTTCGGAACAAAATCAAACTACTTTATTTGGAAAAGTTAATAACTTGATAGAAAACCGTTCTGTTTCTTAATGGCTATAAGGGAATCTTTACAATATCGGACTTTTGGAAGACTGTATGATATATTTGTTCTAGCCGTTTGTCATATCTGAATGCAAGGTGAAATCTTGGGGATTCTTGGAATATCTTTTTGCTTTGTGTTTTTTATTTCCGCTTGTGCTTTTGAGACTACTCGACCTACTCTTTTCCCTTATTTATCAAGATTCTAATAGAGAAGATTAAGACAGACAATAAGCGTATTTATATTGTAGTAGTTCTTACTTATCCAATCCGAATTAGATCATCTAAACTTAAATATCATGAGGCATGTGATTTGTATCCTTGTGGCAGATTGAGGGTGATGTTTTGGCCATTAAGAAGGCACTTGTTGCTGTCAGTCGTTGCCTTCAAGATTGCCCCCATGCTCACAAGGCAAGGATGGCTATAGGTCGGTCCCATCATAACGTTCCTAGGAAGACCATACCTAATGGGCACACGGATTTCCCTCCACCACGAACTCAAGTGCTTCAACCACCACCAACCACCTCTGCCGATCATCATGTAGGTGGCCACCACCCTTTATCTTCAGATGGTGGCACCATTCCTTCCATGGACTCCATAACTTCTCAGCAAGAAATAGTTTTCAGGATGCTAATTTCTAACGACAGGGTGGGAAGCTTGATAGGCAAGTCAGGGACAATCATCCAAGCTCTTCAAAATGAATCAGGTGCTACTATAACCGTTGGAGCTCCTGTTTCTGATTGCGCTGAGCGTTTAATCACTATTACCACTATGGAGGTCTGCTAGTCTGTTCATATATAAAAAAGATTAATGTTATATAATTTCTTTTTAATTTGTCTTTCTTTTTTGTTGTAGAGCCCAGAGTCACAGATTTCGCCTGCACAAAATGCAGTTATTCTTGTTTTCAATAGGTTTATGGAGACCGGCTCTCAAAAAGGGTTGGATCAATCATCGACGGGCACACCATTTTCTGCTAGAATTTTGATTTCGCCGAACCAAATTGGTTGTTTGTTGGGTAAAGGTGGTTCCATAATTGCGGATATGAGAAAGTCTACGGGTGCTGTAATAAAGATAGTTGGCGACCATCAAGTCCCGAAATGTGCTTCAGAGACTGATCAAGTTGTGTTGGTGAGATCTTCATGCCTTCCTTTCTGCAAATAGATATTGGATGTGTGTGTGTGTGTGTTTCCTTTGAGGCTGTGATAGCTATTGATTTACCCCTTACTATAATTTGTATGATTTCACTCATTTTATTTACTAATTTCTGATAAATGTTATCTTTTTGATTCTTGATAATTGTTTTTTTCAGATAAAGATTTTTTGATAGTAAATTTACATATTTATGAGTAAAAATTTTATATAAGTTCAACATTATAATATTCTAAAAGGTAAAATAGACAAGTACACCCATTGAGACATTTATTAATTTACAAAAACGTACAATCTTAACCACAAGGGTGGTGCCTGATTGGTTTGAGCTTGACTCCAAAGGTCAAAAGTACCAGGAGGTCCCATGTTCAAATCCAAGGAGGAATAAAAATCCCCTTGTGGACACGAAGGTTCAAATGCGGTGACTCTGGGCTATCTGCAAAGCAGGTGGTCGCCCTAGGATTAGTCGGCTCGTATAGCGGGTTGGATATCCAGGTTAATCAAAAAAAAAATAACGTACAATCTTATTGTTTAGGCTTTCAGACTTCATCACCACCTCTTATCAATAAAAAATTGAATATAAGACTTCAAAGTTCAACACCTCTTAGAAAACAAGCATTGCCTTATAAGCTTATGTTCATCTCATTCTCTGTGCTTCAAGCGACACAATATATAGCTTGTCATTAGATAAATTGTTTGCACACAATCACATCTGTAACTTGCTCTTGTGTTTCTCTTTTTTCTTTTGCAAAAGCTGAAAGTTTTCAAAGAACGCTCTGTCTACCCTTTCGGGGTACAGGAAAGACCTGCGTACATCCTACCTTCACTAAACCCTACCTTTGTGTGGCATTTACCGGGTTTGTTTGGTTTTATCAGATAAATTGTTTGCTTTTCTAATTGTAAATTGAATGAACCATCTTTGTTCAAAGATGACAGGAGACTTTGTAAGCGTACGCGATGCTTTATACAGTGTTACTGGCAGGCTACGAAACAACCTATTTTCCAGTAAAACGTCAAATGGCCCTGGAACCAGGGGCACGTATGCACGAGGGAACAATTATCCCCCTTCTGGCTTGCCTTCTGATCAGCATACAACTTTAACTCAGAGTATGGATAGTCTCAAATTGTCAAATGTCGTAGATCGTCCTCCAACACCTGGACAATGGCAAGCTCAGGTAACATTTCCTCTATTTTCCTATTTCCGTAGTTGAGCATTTCAAGTTGTCTCCATCTATCGTGGATTTGATTGCAGATAAGCGCCGGTAATCCAGGGATGGGACAGGATGTTGGCACAGGATCAACTTCCGTCAAAGGCGGCATTGAGCTTGGCAGGTTTGCATCAAATACCACCTCTCTGTTCCCCCCCCCCCCAATAATCGAGGGAGTAATGACAATCTCCATCTTGTAATTAATGGTAAAATTGGAAATTAAGAAAATTATGTTGGGACAAACTAAAATAGATATGGACACAAATTTTGCATATAACTTAACACCATCCAGGGGTCTTCGTGGAAACAACCACTCTATTCTTTGGGTAGAGATCAGGTCTGCATTAGCTTCCCCAGACCCCACTTGGTGGGATATACGCGTTTCGTTTGGTTTTTACTTAAAACCATAAGCAGGTTGATTTATGCTCTTCACTTACCCAACTTTTCTTGCTGATGTTTGCAGTGGAGGTAGATCTGCTGTAGTAACTAATATGAGTGTCGAAATTATAGTACCTCAAAATGTCATTGGTTCGGTTTATGGCGAGAATGGGAGCAATCTAACTCGTCTAAGACAGGTAACTAATACTTCGATTGTGGCTTAGAATATGATTTACATTTCCCATGTTAACCAACTGCTATACTTTCAAAATTGCTAAATAAACTTCGTCGTTGGTATAAAAATGCGTGAAAATATACAAAAATTATAACAATGATGGTTATTTTGAAACAGTCGCTCTACCATTTGGGATAGAGGATATGTTGGGTTTGGATCGAGCGTTTGGCTCAGTTTCCCTGTTTTTTGGTTCTTTTGAACACCGATACTCGGAAGTAGGGTATTTGGCAGTGGGATGTATATAGACTTGCCCTCTATCTCAAAGAGTAGAGTAGTTGTTTCCATGAAGACCCTCGACTTGTGAATTGAATTTCCGTTGTGAAGGTTTCACTTCCAAGTTGTTAGGAATAGCGAAATGTAGTACAACGGTTATATGGTTTTGTTGTCTCTTGCAACTTCATTGTAGGACTTTCAAACTAATTAGAGGCAATATATATCGAAAATACTTTTCTTCATTTTAGAACGTAGATTTTTGTTTTTGTTTTTTCTCGAACCTTGTTAAACGAAGGATGTTAGAGGCAATTTGAACTTGTATATGTGATCCGTTCCTTGGTGTCGGTTGTTGAGTCATTTATATACATCGAGTATTTGGGACTTTTGCTTATCGGCTTTGGGATGTCGTGATCGTTTTTTTAACCATTTTCTTCTCTTCGTTATCATAATTTTGCGTTTTCAGCTTCAGGTAATTAACGTCTAATCCTTAAAAACTGACCCATGGGTTGTTCTAAATTCGTTTTGTGTAAAACCAGATCTCCGGTGCAAAGGTTGCAGTGCAAAAACCACATTCGGGAACAACCGACCGAGTCGTAGTTATATCTGGTACCCCCGATGAAACCCAATCAGCTCAGAGCCTCCTTCAAGCATTCATACTTGCTGACCAATAACAACAACGAGTTCCTGATCAATCTAGTCAAAGTCAACGAGGCTTTTCCGATAATAAATATGAAGATATCAGTAGCTACATTTCTGTAAAAATGTCCACCTCCTTGCCTGTCTGCAGAAATGCAGTACTTGCAGTCAGTACTGTCATCAGCAGCAAGCACCAACTTCTGTATGTCATCCTCTTGGTCAAATTTACCTTTAAAGTTGAAGAGATTTATTAGCTTGCTCATATGTTCAGTATCCCTTTTTATAACTGCCAATTGCAGCGAACTTGAGATGTACAAACCGACCGACAATTTATAATGTATTGTATCATAAGCATGCCGGCTTAATGGTTTTTAGAGGTCGGGTTTCAGACTATATACAAGAAAGAAATAGGGTTTAACATGAAAGGAAGTTGATTTTGAAGCGGGTTATGATCGATCATGCTGCTTCTGGTTCTGGTTTGAGTATGATTTCAACGTTATCGTGAACACCTTGTAGTAGGAGTTCGCCATCGTATGCCAAAACTTTGCGTTTCTTGGCTGCCCGCAATGTCCCGACTAGTGCTTCGAAAATGTTTGCACACCTGTCATCGTTGAACAGCACGCCGAATGTCACCTTCATGATCCAATATTCAGATTTGTAATTAGCAATGAGAAAGAAAGGCTGAACATGCCAAAGATAAACGGTAACTGATGGGAAGATTCAGTAAACCAAACCAAATTGATCCAGTAGATCTCACTCGAAAGTAGGGCCAATAAAAGGGTGAGATGTATGCAGACCTGATTTTTACCATAAATAGTACATAAGATTGATTCCATTAAGACCCTGATCTCAAGAGCACGAGCAAACAGGTAGAAAGATGGAATGATTCAATCTTGATGTCAATAAGCAAATATGAAGCCTTTTGGACTCGATGAAGAAAGTTATGAGTGGTTCACAACATGCAACTTATAAGGAGTTCACAAATCTAATTTCGTGAGTTGTCACGATAGATGGTGTGTTGATTGTCAACGAAGTGGATATCATAATTTTGATGGATATTTATAGGAGAAATATGTATTTAACTTGGGATTAGCAATTCCAACCATAAAGCAACCAAAATCGACACTCGAGCAAGCAAACAACACAACCAAAACAGACCCTTAGTAGGGAAATGGTAACGAAAGAAACGCTATATAGCAAAAGATGGTGGGGTACCATTTACAAACAAAAGTAGAATGGAATGGTTCCAGATACTAATCACTGGGATTGCTTATAAAAACAACTTATTGACTTATTCCGGTGTGACACCGGTAATAAGCACTTTTGAGTGTTTGAATAAACAACTTATACCGGTGCCAAACTGGTAATAAGAAGTTTTTGAAAAAGTTAAACCCTTCTGACTTATAATAAGTTGATAAGTACTTTTGTAAAAAAACACAAGTTGTTTCAAATAAGCAAATCCCAAACACCCCTTTAAACGACATACCTCCACAACAAAGTTTAACATCTTGTTCTTTTTGTAGAAAGATGAATAACATGAAAACATATTGAATCGAAGACGAATTATTCTCGGGCATGGTTCTTTTGGCTGGTATGATTGCATTTCAAGTTTTCATCACATTGCATTGAACTAAATACGTATTTACAGTTACCAGTGGCTCTACTTTTTGGGATATAATACATGTGTTGCATACATTATATGCATCTGATCCCAAAACCTGCTTCCGAATGGAATGTATTGGGTGTGATTGGTTTCTTTTGGTTTAGGATCAATGATTTGGGATCGATACAATACAATCAGAAGCTTGAAGGTAAATTGATAAGATGAACAGGGACAAAGTTCAAATTCTCTTCTGAAACGGGATGATTTCATTCATACGAACCACAATATGCAATCATCAAACATCAATTTGCCATCAGATCAATAATTGCCCTAAGCTTATGAAATCAAGTCTTCTATACGTTTTAACAAAAAACTGAGGAGATGAAGACGAATCTGTTAGTGAATGTGGAGAGCAAGATTACCTTATAAGATCCATCGCCTTGTTTGTGGCCGAGTCGTTTGATTTCTTCTTTGAGTTGGTGAATCTCTTCGTCTACGTTCATGGTTTTCTTTGTAGGTTTGTTGAGCTTTCAGGGATCTCATGTTGTGTTAATACTTACACCCCCTGCATTTATATGCTCCTATTTTTAAGATGAATGAAAATCGACTCAAACGAACATATTCCACAACCAAATTAATCTTTATATGCTCCTTCTAAAAGCCGGTGTACCATGGTGACACCGTATCCTACCAACCTATTTATTTATTACTTATAAGCTATTTGGCAGTTGTTGAATGGTTCGGTGCAAAATGATTAAGTGATCAGAATGATTAAGAGACTCTCATGATACAATACAAAATGAAATATAATTGTTTGGTAATTGTTTACAATAAAATTAACGTGCATAATGGTTAAGGAAGGCCCATGATACAAAATCATTCAGAGGGTTTTAGTTACATTAAGAGTCAGACTTTTTTTTGGAAAATAAGATTCACCTCTTAATGATTCAGAGTCTGCCTCTTAATGGAACTATTAAGAGGTAAACAAACAACTCTTTAATTAAAGCTCAAATAGTAATACAACATATTTCGATTTTAAATTTTAAAGTATCTTGTAGGAATATATAGAATTTAATTAAATTCACTTGTCTAACCCTAACAACCTTAGTAACTCGTTCACACCTCGACGGTCCACCGACGCTCGTCAATTGCCGCTTGTAGTAGACTATTAGTGAGTGAATATATTATCGGAAGATTATTTGAATGTTTGTATAGGTAGGGATAAGTGATACAATACATATCAACATATTATGTGAATGTTCGATAGTTTAAGTGTATCTAGATTTAGTTGGTAAATATGAAAGTGTAAATAAATTTCTAACTTCAACTGTTATGGTGTTGGTACAATATCATACCAACATGTACCAACCCGAAAAAGTTGATATCAAGTATAATTGGTTGATACATGGTATAAAATTTTGTGTACCAATTATAATTGATTGGAACATGATATATATAAAAATATGATACCATAACATGTTCACCCCCTACAGATATTATTTAAACCTTGTCATCAAATCTTGATCTCAAAAACCACACCATTCTAATTTTGACTTTCAAATCTTGATATTGTGTCTGATCTTAATATTGAACTTATTTTCATCAACACACACAATTAAAAAAACACATGTCATAATAAAGTGGAATATATTTATATTTTACCAATATAATCTCAAAATAAAATCTATTTTTTTTAAATATTAAATACAATCCTCTATTTACATTTATTTGTTCTTTAAATTTTATTTATCGTATTTTATGTTATTTAAACTTTCATTTTACTGTTTTCAAAATATTTTTTTATATGATTTCTATATTTTGATTAATTTATGTAGTTACTAATATATTAATAATAATACAAATATATAGAAAAAAATATAAATTAGAAATTGAAAACTACATAATTTCTTTTTATTTTGGTGTCATTGTAATCGTTTTGACGAAAATTTTCGAATAATGTATTTGTTATAAAAAATATTTATTTCATTATCATTTAATAAATTATATAAGTTATTCAAAATATATAATCAACTTATTATGAGTAAATTAGTCATTTTATCTGTTCAGTCATGTCTAATTTGTTTTATCCTATCTTGTCAGGATATCAAACTCAACCTTAATGCATATCAATTCCTTCTTGTGTGAGTCACGTTAAGTTTTAAAATCAAATCATGCGATTCTAATAAATCTTACAAGAGGAGGAGAATATATATATAAAAAGAGATTTAATAAAGGGAATGCTAATAATTTTAGAAAAACAAAAAAAAATGTCGATTAATATATAAAATCATATGTGATTTTACATTAACGTCAAAAAAATAGAAGCGGACGGTTTTTGAACATGTATGATTTTGTACGTAAATATATATGTATATATGTGTGTGTGTGTGTGTGTGTGTGAGAATCATGTATGATTTTGTATGTGGATATATATATATATATATATATATATATATATATATCATGTATGATTTTGTACGTGAATCACGTATGATTTTGTACGTGAATTACATATGATTTTGTATATTAACGACATTTTTCTTGTTTTCTTAAATAGTTAGCGTTATTGTTTGAACCTATCCATACACACACACGCATATATATATATATATATATATGTATGTAGTTGAGTTCCGATAAGAAGGTTAGTTAAGGTGAGAAGCTTAAGAATGGATCTCCACCATTCGGTTCACATTAGGATGATATGCACCAAATCAATCTACGTATCAAGCATGATTTATGGGTGAGTTTGAGATTAAAGGTGATCAGGGGTCCAGATCTGTTTTTACACTTCTCAATTAACTCTCCTTCTCACACGATCATTCGCCTATATATATATATATATATATATATATAGGGAGAGATTCGAATGAAAAGTATCAAATATATGAGAAAGAGAGAAGCCATCTTAGCCATTAGATTAAATGATCAAATTTTATTAAATGAAGGATAATATGATAATTAGCATAAAACATCATGATAGCAATTGCAACCATCTTGTCACAGTAGATCAGGGTGAAATGAGAGATTTCTCCGATCAATACACCGCCATCGTCAATGACAACAACCGAAGTCCAATCAAAATTGTCATCGTCATCTCCCATTAACGATTCTAACAAATCAAATCCGGTTTTTTGGCAATTTTATCATCGATTTTTCTTTAGTTTTTGTTAATCGTATATCGTAATTCTTGGTTATCAAAATTATCAACTTAATTCTTTTTGATCAAATCTCATATTCTTTGATATGAATTCGAATCTAGAAAGCGATCTTGAGCAAAATGTTTACTTTGATTCTAAGGGTGTGTTTACTTGAGGCTTAATGAGCTTACTGGATAAATTGGCTTATTCGGACAGACAAAATAGGATGTTTACCTTGGGCTTATTCGCTCAGAAATGGGCTTATTCACCCAGATCAAAAACATTAGTTGTCCAGATTAAGCCATGAAAAAGACTCTCCCTACCCTTATTCGCCCTACCCTTCGCCCAGATCAAAAATTTCCATCGACGCTCTTTCTTCTCCATCGACAGTCAATCGGACGACGCTCTATTCTTCATCGACAATCGGACTACGCTCTATTCTTCATCGACAGTCGACAGTCTGATGACGCTCTTTCTTCATCGATCGACGCTCTCTTCTCCATCCAAAGAACCCTAATCGGACGACGCTCTATTCTTCATCGACAATCGACAGTCGACGCTGTCTTCTTCTCCATCCAAAGAACCCTAATCGGACGACGCTCTATTCTTCTTCTCCATCGACAGTCGACGATGTCTTCTTCTCCATCGACAGTCGATGCTGTCTTCTTCTCCATCGACAGTCGATGCTGTCTTCTTCTCCATCGACAGCCGATTGCTCTAAAGTTCCATATCGATTTCATGATTGTTCGATTTCTGTTTGCTTGTGTTTGCTTGATTTTTATCGATTTCATGTTTGTTTGATTTTTCTTTGCTTGTCTTTGTTGCTAGAAAGAATCAAAGAAACCCTAGCCGAGCCATGAAAGTTGTTTGTTCTGTTTTATTTTCAGGGGTAAATTKGYCATTTMTGTTATTCAGACTGATGATTCAGATAGAAAAGTAAACATCAACATAAATTTATCCAGACAGACAAATTTATCTAGACAGACAAATTTATCCATACAGGACTTAATAGAAAATTTGGTAAACAGCCCCTAAGACTATAATGTTATATGTGAATCTATGATTCATCTGTGAATCAATTAAATAGTCACATTAAATAATTTGTATGTGAATCATCCGGGTTCACATATGCACTTAAATAGTTCATATGTGAACGACTTAAATAGTTCACATATGCACAAAAAAAATAATTCATATGTGAATGATTTAAATAGGTGATATGTGAATCATTCGGGTTCACGTATACATATAACAATAAAAATATGAACTAAATCAGTTTCACATATGCATTGCTATTTCATTTATGAGTGTTTAATAAGTTCACATGTGAAGAGGACCCAAAACAATTGATATCATATGAGAATCTATGATTTCATATGTGAATAAATTAAATAATTCATATGTTGAATCACACGTGTTCACATATTCACATACTATTATTTGTTCGTCGTCTACTCTGTTGTAGTTGTAAAAGTTACGATCGTTTTCAAAATTAAACAAACATGTTATGTTTCATTCAGAAATAGTGTCTAAGGAGATAAAGATAATATACACGCAAAGTTTCTCTTTATCTTAAAATATTAAGAGGCTATTTCGGATAATACCATTAGAAACCACATCAACATCACATACGGTGATGTTTGGTTCACAAAATGGAATCTGTCGGAATTAGAATCTGGCAAAGGAATTGGAATGAAATTTAATCAGATTTGTTTATGCGTTTGGTTGGTAGGAATTGGAATGAAATATGTCAAAAAAAATTGAATATGCCTGTTTGGTTTATTGAATACAATAGTGGCGGTGGGGTAGAGGCGGTAGTGGCGGTGGGGTAGAGGCGGTAGTGGCTGTGTCGTAGTGGCGATGGTGGTAGCAGTGGAGATGGCAAGGACTATGGTGAACGGTGATAGCGACAGCGACAATGGTGATGGGGTGAAGGCAATGGTGATTGTGAGGGTGAAGGCGACAATGGTAAGGTGGTGGTAGTGGCATCAATAATCGTAACAGTGGCGTCGCTAACAAACAGTGATAACAACCATCATGGTGGGATGAAACAGATATAAAAACATAATATTTCTTCTGAATTTCAAATTTTGTTGAATTCTAACGAAGCAAACGCCACCTAAGTTTCACGCCGACCGATTGGCACCACATCAATACCCAACAGATTTCTAAGTAAATTATCGTCAAATAAGTAATAAATAAATATACACGTATTATTTTGCATTACTTTCTTCTGTTTAAAATAAAAATTGAAAAACACAAGCTGTTTTATATTTAATTTAACCAAAATGTATAACAAAATGATCTTATAATTGAATTTATTTCAATTAATATATAATAAATATTTGTTTTTTTATTTCATGTTTATTTGACTAATAACTATTAAAATCTTTGAAATAAATGGGGACATGAATGCTAAATTAGTATGCATCAAAATTAGTCAATGTAATATATTTTAAAATCAAAATTCATTAAGTGATGTTGAATGATTTGGTGCATAATGATTAAGTGGTCAAAATGATTAAAAAACTCTTATGATATAGTGTAAAATAAAATATAATTATTTAGTAATTGTTTACAATGAAATTAAAGTGTTGAATGGTTAAGGAAGACTCATGATACAAAATTATTCAGATGGTTTTAAAACCATTAAGAGATAAAAAAAAAAATTATCAAACAAAATTCACCTCTTAACGATTCAGAAGTTGCCTCTTAATGGAACTATTAAGAGGTAAACAAACAACCAGGGGCGGAACACGACTGTTGTAGTCCGGGGGGCCGAATTAAGTACATCTTCAATAGATTTTTTAAAATTGAGAAAATAAAGATTTTAGGCATATTTTTGCTCCAACAGCATCTCCAAAACTCTCCAAAATGGAGAAAACATGAGAGAGTGTAAACCAAAAATGATTATAACAAGAGAGAAACATTTTTTTTAGCATATTCACACCGATAGGAATCCTTGATATTAATGGTTTATGATAGAGAAATAATATTTTTATTAGAGTTTTAATTCTCCATGGGGAATATGCTGGACATGCTATAATACTGTAAAATTTTATAAATCTAAATGATTCGTTTTTAGACTATTAAATTTTTAAAAAAAAAGTTTGATTAATGTAAGATTAAAACTCGAAACATTCAAAGTATTAACGGAAAATTAGTAATACCAACTTAAACATTATTTATATATAATTAATACATTATATAATTTACTCCAAAAACTTAAACATTCAAAGCATTAACAAAAAAATAATAATACCAGTGTAATTTACTCTACAAACTTATGTCATGGAGTCCGATTATATCACTCTTGTATTTTCATCTAACCCATGCAGTAACAAATGTTTATTTAATCGACGAATTACTTTTTATCGCAATTGTTATTAATATTTTATTAATTTTATAATTATGAAGACTTTGTTTGATCGTTATATCATCAAAACTTCATTTCAATATATTTTATAATCATAATATTTAAGGTATTTATTTAAGTATAAAATTATCATTTTAAAACTCTAAGGTGTCGTTTACCTAAATGCTTACCCGGTAAACGCTTATCTTAAGAGTCAACACTATTATTTATTTTATCGGGTAAGATTGTAGTACATCAAAACGTATCTTATGCAACAATTTTACCTGGTAAGCGCTTACCCAGATAAGAGTCGTCACCCTCACTTACGGGGTAAAACTCTCCATTCTTATCATCGCTCTTACCGGGTAAGATTTTTGCCCTTTGCTATGTTCAGCTGGTAAGAAAAATTGTCCAGTAAGTACTCACCGGTAAGCGTTTAGTAAACGGCCCCTAAATCTCCTTAACAATTGTTTCACAATAAAATATTTAGTTCTAACTATAGAAACCAACAATTTTTAGCCTAATTAAAATGAAAAATAAACAATATTTAGCTTGACAAACAATGAAGAGATCAAGTTATTATTTAAATAAAACATTTGTTAGACTTGATGTATATTATTTTAATGGTGAATAAATGGGGAGGCCAAAATAAAATTTCAATTATTTTATAATTAAATTTTCAATCTATTGTAGGATGGAGATGCAAAGGCACAGGGGCCATGGCCCCCCTATGCCCCTTAAGCCATCCGCCCCTGCAAACAACCCCGAAGTTAGTTTATAAACTAACTTATAAGTTAAGTTTGTGTGCATCTAGACGATAAGTTTGGTTCGGGTGTTAAGAGAAGTTATGGTGACAAGCCTAATAAAAGATCTTCATCTTTGAATCAATTGTAATTGGATGTCAACATTAATGAAGTGCAACAAGATACATCAGATTAATTCTCTTCTAAAAAGCAATTCACGAGTGGACATGAGATTAAAGATGATCAAGAGTTTAAATCTCTTTTTACGCTCTTCACCATAACTTTCTTTCTCACACGATCTTTCGCCTCCAAACGGTTACTCAGAAAATAAGCTAGCGTATGTTTGTCGAATACTGAATAACATTACAATAAAGGAAGCATAAGGTACAAGTCTCATGAAGCATACAATCCCCCCTTTGTCAATGGGCACGAACGACTGCTTACGCTGGAAGCACCATATTAGGCTAGGCCACCAAATTGAACCTGGTGAAATCCTTGGTCCCGATTCTCGAATTCCAATTGGGGATACGATTAGGGCTCAAGTCCCTACTATTTGCTCCCTTTCAGCTTTCTTTCCCCCTCTTGATGTCAAGAAACGTAACTCTGATTTGATTATTCGCTCATATTTTATTGAATCTCTTTTGTATCTAGCTTAGAAACCTGTAAATTTATTGCATTTTTGGGGGGTTCGTTAGATGCTTTTGGAGGATGGCAGAGGGTAATCTTAACGATCAACATCATCGTCAAGCATCGATTTACGAGACCGTCAATTTGCAGCCGGTTAATTTACATCATCATCAGCAACAAGGAATTAGTATCAATAACAATGATAATCAACATCACATAGTTGAAGATGTGGTTGTACAGGAAGATGATGATGTTGCCGGGGCCGAAGAAGAGTCTATAGACAACCCTAGTCAGATCCGTTACGACCACCACAATCCTCATCACCATCATCACCAACATCATAACATACAGAATAATGGTAGTCTCGAAGGTGGAATGGAGGAAATGAGTGTTCAGCCGCATGCCTTGTATGTACCGGACTCTGAAATTCAGCCCGTTAGTGCGGGAGGTGCAGGTGGAGGTGGAGGTGCGGATCAGCTTACCCTATCGTTTCAGGGCGAAGTTTATGTCTTTGATGCCGTTTCACCAGAAAAGGTTTTGCATTCTTTATTTCTATGGCAATAGGACTTTGTTTGTTTCTAGTGATAATGTTTTCTTCATTATGCATTAAGCACTAACCTAGTTGAGCAAGTCTCAAGATTTAACGTGGTCTTCGCCTTTTTGGGATAATATTTTACCGATGCATATTGGGTTAGTTGTATTTTGGTGCTTCCCTCTGGATATAAATGGATTGAGTCAGGGCTTTGTTCTTTAGGGCAATAACTTAAGGGAACACGTCATTATGAATATGTACGAGTTATTATGACTGAGGTATTTCTTGATCTGCCACTAATTTATGGAGGTTTTTCATTGATGGGGATTGTACAGGTGCAAGCTGTGTTATTGCTCTTGGGTGGGTATGAAGTACCAACTGGTGCGCCCACGATGGGGATGCCCCCTCAAAATCAAAGGGTATAAGTACAGCATATTGTTCCTGCAAGTTTTGACTTCTAATGGTCTTGTTCGTCCAAGTTTTATCGGTCTATTTTACAAAATGTGTACAGGGTTTAACTGAATTTCCTGGAAGATCAAGTCAACCACAAAGGGCTGCTTCCTTGAGTCGGTTCAGGGAGAAGAGAAAAGAAAGATGCTTTGATAAGAAAATTCGTTACAGCGTACGGAAGGAAGTTGCTCTTAGGTAGTAGAGCTACTAGCTTTTGCAGCGCTTATTTACATGCTTTGTGTTGTGTATTCTTTCTTGACGTTTCCATTTTGATTTTCATTACTTTGTTATAATATGTGTCAGACTTCATACAGAATCAACTTCATTCTTCTCAATGTGCATGATTAGAATATCTATCATTGATGGAATGTGAGATTAGTTGTTCTCTTGGTAATTTTGCCAACATTTATAGTGGATAGTTTCATGAGTAAACCAGTCTATTTGGTACTGGCTGGAACTGTAGTTACAAAAGGCTTGATTCTTGCAACATGCAAATTGCAACAGAAGTGTTGAAGTTAGCACCAGAGCTATAGAATCGTGGATAGTGAATAGGCTTGAAAATAATCGAATGCTTGTGCCAAAAATCCTGCTATTTGAGTTTCCATTTCTGTAGATCATATAATTGATAACTTGAAGTTGTACACTTGTTGCTCTTCCCGGTTTTAGCAACATAAAATTGTGAAAATAACTCTTTAAAGCTTTTACATGGCAAAGTTGTTGATGTATTTGACTTACAAATGGATTGAGCTTATTTTTCAATGAGATGCAGTAATTTGAAACCATTGGCCCGTTATCAAAATTGCAGACATCCTTAAATCAAATGTTGATTCCTCACTTCAAATGCACACCTATGTAGATAGCATAGTCTACGTGAACTCAATAATCCAATTTCGAAAGTGTGCCCAGCCAGCTTATCCCAGATCTGCCACTTATCAACGATCAATGTGACATGAGCTGTGATGTTTGACCTCTACAGTTTTCCTGTTCTTTGACTAGCCAAATGGTGCTATATCCTATGGTTGCTGCTCAGATTTCTATATACTACATGTGAACATGTCCTATCCACTATAAGCGTAACTGCTTTTTTGTATATTCTTTGCATTTATCAGTTTCTGCAGCATTAGTCTTTGTTATATAGTACTGCAAAATCTTTAATTGCCTCAGTGAGGCATGGCCGATATATTTGAAACATGGTATTTATAGTGATACTCGTGGCAGGGATGAAGGTAGAAATCTTTTTTAGGTTGGAACAAATAAAAACATAGTAAAACCAGGGCAACAAAAACAAAGAAATGAACTAATAATTCAAGTAACACTTGGTAATCTAATGCATATGTTCAAATGGTAACTATTGAATTACATAGTAATCAATAATCAATGCAAAAAATATATTACATCTAAGATACCATTACGAACGAATACAAAATTCAATTAGTTATAGTTAGGAATTACAAGATAAAATAAAAGCATGCACACATATTGTAACAACAACAAATTTTTAAATCTTGACCTCTCGACCCGAATTTAGTGGACAGTTGTTTTCGTCTCTAATAGAATAAGAATGAAAAACAAAAAGTAGCTGTGTAAACATTTACCAAGCTTTGTTGGAATTGGAAATTTGGAAGTCAATTGTATTTTTTTAAAATTATTGCTAGAAGCTTTTACCAGTTGATTACATATGTTGTCGCACAATAAAGATTAAAAGAATTTAAAGAAGTTTCAATGTCTAGGTTAAGAGTTGCACTAGAAGTCAACCTATTAGGATGAGAAGCTTGTTATTGTCTTACAATATGCATCCTTTAGGTATATTAATACTGTATAGCGTTTTCGTTTTTTGGGTGTGCCAAATTGTAAAAAATAATGAAATTCATGGGGTCTTACTGTCATTTACATTTAAGGTATTCAGGGCACAACATAACCCTAACAGCCTTCTGTCCTGAGTGGGCTTTAACTAAAGTATCAAGTTCTTGCACCTACATCATGAATATAGATGCTAAGGAGTTCGTTAAATATGAAAATTGACTAGAGGGAGGATGGTAAATATTAATTGGATCATGCCACAATCTGGATCTGTAAATTATATGGAGAATTAACACGTTTTTCACTGACAATGTAATATGTTTATTCCTCCTTACAGATGTTCATATGTGACAGCATGTTGCACATCTAACAATTCCCTGAAAATTGTTTCAGTGCACATTTTAAGTAACTCATAAGAAGTAATATTTCTGAACTGATAAGAATAAATGTAAATAGTCAACTACATGGGTTTTGGTTGTGGTGAATTCTCAACTGATAAGCTGGTATTAGTTCTGGCAAGGACTGTGCCCCTTTTGTGCATCTCTGACCTTGTTTGATTTCTGTATTTGGATATCTGATTCATTCACCTTTGTACTCCCAGAATGCAGCGTAAAAAAGGTCAATTTACATCATCCAAGGCAATTTCCGATGAAGCAGGTTCAGCTTCTTCAGATTGGAATGGTGGTCCTGGCCAGGATGAAGAAACAACGTGAGTACCCCTTTTCCATGATTATTTTTGGAGCCTCCGTAGTCTACGTTATATGCTTGTTGCATTGCCTTCAAGCCTGTTATGCACCTTGAATCATATTGTTGTTGACTGCAAATCTTTGTGGCCAATCTGCTACGTAAATTGCCCGTGTTTTTAATTCCTTGCTTGTTTTCTATAACATTTTGCAGATGTAGACACTGTGGGATTAGCTCAAAGTCCACTCCAATGATGCGTCGTGGGCCTTCTGGTCCAAGGACATTGTGTAATGCATGTGGACTCAAATGGGCCAACAAGGTCTGTCCAGATTACTCATTATGTTTCAGTTTTCTAAATGTATCCATGCATGAATTTTCTTGGACATGGACCCTATTGACTTGGAAACTTGCCATTCTAATTTTTAAGAGTTAAACTTATGACTTTTCTTTAATGTTTTGGTGTCAACTATGGGTGTTCATCTACACCGCAACACTGCACCACACCGCGCCACGCTGCTTAGAACATTCATGGTGTGGTTTGCTTTTTCATCAAACCGCACTATGGTTCAGTTTGCGGTTTTGAATTGTTAAACCGCAGTTCAAACTGCACCACACTGCACTCATAGATTTTTACACATAATATACATATATATATATATATATATATTACACTAACATGAACTAAATGGAAATATTTAGTACGTTGTTTATTAATTTTTCAATTTTCCTGTTAAGTTTTACCTTTTACGCCTTTCATTTGTCGGTACTCGAGATGAAAGGCAATGTATGAACATTGGTTGAACATTGGTTGTATGAACATTGGTTGAACATCTTATCCTCTTTTCTCAAAATACCTGGTGGGGACTGGGGATCCAACATTTTGAAAGTAGTTTGAACATTGGTTGTTATAATATTATCATTTTTGTGCATAGCATTCAAGTATGGGCTCTCTTTCTTGCACAAACAAATTCATCAAAGGCTAGTTTGAAGAACACAATAAAGGAGACAGACCAGGAACTCAGTAGACGAACACCATGCAGTGGACGTTGTAGAATTGTATCCATAATCACCATCGCTTTTATCTTCCAAATCCACAGAAAACAGAAAAATAATACAGAAAACTGAAAATAATATAGAAAACAGAAAATAAAAATAATAGAAAACATAAAATAAAAATAATACAGAAACAGAAAATGTACAAAAAAACATACATAACACAATTATACATATAGAAAATACATTATACATAACATAGAACCTATATACTTGACTGAAATATATATAATATCATATAATACATTATACATAAACTAAAAATGTGGACAGAAACTAAAAAGAACTTACTTTTTGGGTTGGCCTTTGAGATGAATATCTTCTTGAGAGAGGAAAAAGTAAGAAATGGAGAAGAAAAAATAGGGTTTGGAGAGGCGTGCGCCTCAGACACGCCTCAATGCCTCAAGGCACCGCCTTGCCAATTGAAGCTTAAGCCTTGTACAGGGACCATGAGGCGCCCTCTCATGAGCGGTTTTGGACCGCCTCGCCTTGAGGGCAGGCACGCCTCCAGGCGTACGCCTCAAACGCTTTTGAAAACCATGGGCATACCCCTCTAGGAGACTATTATGGGGTTAGATCTTGGGTCTACAGACTGAGGAATTCGTCATGGAGAACCAGTATCCACCTTTTAATTTATTAATGCAGCTGAAGTATCAGGTAAAATGCTTTCGAGATTGCTACATGCTGAGATTTAACAAGGACTTCAAGTTGATGAGTCACTTGAGAGTCAACAATTTGCAATTTGCAAACAATACAATAATTGTGTCCCAATCACTCAGAGAAATGGAAAATGTGAGAGATATTTTATACATCTTTTACCGTCTATCCGGATTAGAAATTAAACATTAAAAGACAGCCATATATGGGATTAATATGCCAACCAATCAACTAGAATCTATGTCTAATCACTAACATTGCGCAATGGGGAGTTTTCCATTCGCTTATCTAGGAATTTCCATAGGAGTCAACCCTGAACAAATCGTTGATAACTTTGGAAAGGTAGGTGCCTCTCAGGAGGGAGATTTGGAATGTATGTTTTTTTTGGGAGGGGGGGTTTGTTGATTTTTTAAGGCAAAAAATTGCCTTGGTACCTTGGAGTCAGGTTTGGAAGCCAAAAGGTGAGTCTGGTCTAGGTGTTTCCCTTCTGGATAAAGAACACTTCTTCCTTAGCCACATGGTGGGAGAAATACAATCGTTTAAGATGTCCCCGTGGAAAAGTATCATTCAAGCCAGGGTAATAGGTATACAAACTTAATCCCTGGCAGCTTATGATAAATGTCACCTCCATATTCTACCGAAAAGTATCTCAAGTGTAGAAAGGTGTTCTTCATATCATCTTTGATGTCTTGGGAGCCACAACTGGAGATGGAAATGTGGTAATGGAGCAAACATCTCCTTTTGGTATGATGGTTGGTTGGGTGAGCATCCTGTCAGACAGTTATCTGGAGCTCTGCCTCCTTTCATCCAATAGGGTGGGAAGAGTTATTGAGTTTTCTTCTTCAGACCCCGATGATATTTCTTGGCATCTTCATATTGAAAGATAACTCACGATGCACGAGGCCAATTAGCAGAGTTGACATCTTTCTTAGCGAAGGTGAACAATATCCCTCTGGTAGTCAAGTGCAAGATTCTGTGTTCGGATTCTGGCTGGTTTATGGTGCCTATGCCATTGCCATTGCCATTGCCATGGCAACCCAGTTGATGACATGCTGGCAGCAAGAGGAACACCCTTGGTAGAAGTTTATGTGGAGCAACAAAATTCCTCTAAAAGTTCAAAGCTTTTTTTATGGCTCAAAACAAGACTGTTAAAAGGAATCTCTTTCATAGACGTTCCCTAGCCAGCTTATCTAATCTCCCAGACTTTATCGAGCCAGTTCGAGGGGTTGTAACAAGAGATGAACTTGATGCAAATTGTGACAGGTGATGGAGACTGTAGATCATGTCTTCCTCCTGTGGTAATGGGCACTCGATCAATGATACGGGTTGCTCCATTGGTGGAATTTGTCTTGGGTATTGCCTGAAAGGTCGTTGCATTCATTCAACATTGGCATGAAGGAATGGTCAGCTAGTGAATCAAGAGAGCAGAACCATAATTCTCGATCTAGGATTCTCTTAGTTGGTACATGCAGACTTAGTCTTCTGTGTAAGTTACATTATTTTCGGATCTTTATAGGGATCTTAAAATATATATACGTGTCTTAAATTGAAATATTGACATCTTTACTCTCAACCAACTTCTGTTTTGACACATTGTTTGGCGAAACCATACCTTAATCGTGTTTGTCTGCTTGCATAACAATCTGAGGCGAGTGACCTTTAACTTCCACGCCTTGTGCAGGGAGTTCTACGAGACCTTAACAAGGTTTCAGCTTCAGGGGCTCCGGACCCTACAGGAAAGGCTATTGAGCAGGTACACACTCCTTTATGAATTTGAAATTACCTTCATCTCCTTGGTCCCATCACTGATATGATGGATGGCTGTTGCGTTTATTTGCAGAGTGACGGGGAAGCAAATGACACGAATGCTGTAAATGTGAATGCAATTATGGTGTCAAATGGAGGAGATAATTCAGCCGTGACGGGTGAACGGTGAGGGATGAGATATCGAAGAAGAAAGGTGGTGTAAAATAAGAGAAGACATTTGGCTGGTTGATAAACTCACAAAGTAGTTGTTTGTAGATATTGGTTTTTCAAGGGTTGAGGTACATGATGAGATTGCATTATAGCATTTTTAGACGACGTTGTTATAGGATCATCATCGCAATGTAACTTCCCAGAATTGGCAATTTGTACGTTTGGTAGCTCTTCACCTCATTGAAATACATTGGAGTCATTGGTATTTTACCCTTTCTCACCTCTTGCAAGACGTCTCTTCTTGTAATATCCAGTACGTTGGTTGGATATTATGGTTATATATAACATGTAAAAAAATCCATGCCTTGTGTAACATATATGATAACATGTGAATGATTTCCATGTCTTGTGTGTATACTTGTATTAGAACATGTCATCATGCACATCTTAGATATGTATGTGTATCAATATTTTCATGTAAAACAAGCATGCCAACATAACTTGTAATGCATAAAATGCTTTTATGTATAGCATGTATTTCATAAATCACATAAGTACTCACCTTGATTTTGTCTATTTTTTCTTTTGATTCCTTTTTTCAAGCTTAATTATGTGTATATAGAGAGATTTCTTATTTTTGGTATGCATAAATAGTGACCCTTCAATCCTTGTTTATAGAAAATTCATTGTATTAACTACTTGTTCTTTTTGCTCGCAAGATTGTACTCTTATGAGAATTTAACATATGATCTGTAAAGATGAGAGAATCTTGACAACTCATTTTTTAAGGATAAGAGAATATAGACAATAAGGATAAGAGAATCTAGACAACTCATCTCTAAGGATAAGAGAATCTAAACAACTCATGCTTCTAGTACTCCTTGTCATGCTTCCTAGTCCTAGACTTGTCTTGTAATTAATAGTCTTGTCAACTTATATTTTTTTAGCCTAAAGGCCCTAAACAACTCATCTTTAAGGATAAGAGAACCTAAACAACTCATGTTTCTAATACTCCTTGTCATGTTTCCTAGACTTATCTTATAATCAATAGTCTTGCCAACACATATTTTTTTTAGCCTAAACAACTCATCACTAGATTGCCTATTCATACTTAACTACACTTGCCAACATACTTCTAGCCTTAAGGCCCTTAACAACTCATCACTAGATTGCTTAGTCATGCTTACTAGATTTTCTAACATACTTCTAGCCTTGACAACTTATCACTAGCTTGTTTAGTCTTATAATTAAGATGTTTCTCTAAATGTAATAACTGCTGGAGTACTTGAGTTACTCATAAATATTTGCATTTAAGGCTTAAATATTGAGATTTATCAAATAAAGAAACTATGGTGTTACATTATCCAACCCCAAGCAATCTTAGTCATTGGTGGAGGTTCGATCCTAGTGTTTGTTTATTGACATAAAGTCTCTCAATAGTTGGTCTTCTCATCTAAATCTTTAGTTTTCCTTTTATAAAATAACATATTGTTTTTATTTAAAAAATAATATAATAATACAAATTATTAAAATGAAGTATTTTATGTTATTTATTATAAGTTAAAGATTTTGATAAACAGACTGAAATACTTTTTGTTCTGAAGAGAAAATAAACAGAGTTAACGACCAGAGCAAAATGAAAACCGATTTCTAGATCTTCATGTCCCATTTTTGGAGTTTCACTAAACTTCAAGGACCAAAATTAAAGCTTACTATTTATTTTAATTACTTCCAAAACGAGTGAAAGGACAATACTCGTGTTTAGTGATGGCCAAAAACCGGTCCCAGGTCGGTCTTAATCGATCCCAAGCTTTCTCGTAACCGGTCCCGGTCAAAAATGGTAAGATCGATCAAGGTTCTTCTTCATAACCGGTTATGGGCCGCCGGTCCCAGTCCCGGCATTAGAAAATAATTTTTTAACGACATATTTTTAATACATTATAAAATTGGGTTACTCAAATACAATTTAATAATACGTTCTAATATCATTAAAATCACGTCAACTTAAAAAAATGCATTATAAAACTATTTAAAAACACATTTATTTATAAAATTATTTGAATTTTTGGGCCAGGCCAGTCCAGTCCATAACCAGTCCCGGGCCCACAAAACTGCCAAAAACCCCATCCGATCCCCATTTTTGGTCACATAACCTATCCTTACCGGTCCCAGGCCGGACCGATTTGGTCATCACTATTCGTGTTTATGGTTATGGTTATATCTAGACATGCAAAGATAACTTGACAAAATAATAACTCGTTTCAATTGAGCTGGTGGAATTTATGAATTGAGTTGACACACCAACTTCGCCATTCTATATCCCATCTATTTACACCCACACCAAAGGAATGTCTGAATTGTCTTTTTGTATAAAAATACTTCCATAAACCACAATGTTGGTCAGAAGATGAAAATCCCAAAACACATACTTGCAAACAACCTACTTATTTCTATTTCTTTAGAATCACTTCTCCCGTCACCAAAAAACAATGCACTTATCTTTATCTATCTATATATATATCGTAATAAAAATGGTGAAACGATACAGATACCATAATAAGGTGACTTACCCAGAAAAATGGAACCAAATGAATCAATCGACTATTTCGCTTTCTTTCTTTCTTTACTGATCCACTGTAGGGTAGAGACCAAGAAGTGAATTGCGACCATTTCCATTGGATTCTACGTTATTCCCGTAGAAAGGCGACTGCAACTCTCCCGAATGAGAAGACTTGCTACGTGACCTTTGGTTCTTTGGGGAAGCCGTGTAGGAGTCGGCTGAACCACTGCTTGAAGAATAGAATGATGATGTAGGAAGTCCGTGAATCTTTGGTAGACCCGTTGTATCATTATTATTTGTCAAGCTGTAACCCCTCTCCACGCTTTCTGCTTCTAGTGGTAGTTCATCCAACGTCTATAGCAAAATAATAATAATAATCATCAACGGAAAGACTCCTGGGGAATTCTATCTAAGAGAACACTGGTGGTCAGGTCTTGAATTAGACATTTTCTGGTACACTTTTAACGGTATTTGTAGAATGGAAGATGGCAAAAACTTACCCGAAAAGCTTGCTGAAGAACACGTAGCATGTCCCGGGTACGTTTTCTCTTGGTAGCAACTTCATCGGGTTCTTGTAACATTTGTTCGAACAGATCGTCCCTGTCCAAAGCACGATAGGTAACGAGGATGAGTCATTGATAATGGTTCTTTTATCCAAAAGCAGATATACAAGACACGTTAGTCTTGAGGTGAGAATCGGTCTATAGTAGCTAACAGTTGATGTTCATGAAACCAATATTTACTTCTCCGTTCTTACCTGTACAACTTCTTAATGAAGACATTATGCAACTCTCTTTTGGTATGGTTAACCTGATAACGGATCAAAAGAAATACACATCACCAAGTGGCTTTTGAACATGCAGAAACAATATGGTAGAATATATTTAAAACCACAATAAAAATTCTATCCCCCAAGACATCGAAAGCCATGAGGCAATAGAATAGATTTACAATTACTTCGTTATCATTTTCTAACAAGAATTTTCGATTTAAAATCTCACCTTTGATGGTAATTACTATAGTGGGGCCCATGATCCACATTTATCTTGCCGTAAACTACATTTCTACCTTCTATATGACCAGTTAATTCTCACAACAGCAAATCAGAGGCAGACTTTCGCTGAAAACTACAACCCACTAGAAAAAGGAAAATACCCTTGGGAAGAAAAATGATGCACTCCTGTCCCCAAAAAATGCAACGATTGACCATGGCATGTAGTTTAATAACAAAAAACTGACTAATGATCAAATACTTAAAATGCTTCTTAACAGAACAAAACTGAGAAAACTTGTGCAGTTTCTGGAACCCAAAATAATAAGTGTTACATTTTCTAAGAGATGGAACACAAAACTGTGTAGAATAAAGCTGAAAGAGTTAGCAGTAGAATGAAGGGCCGAGCTCAAATGACAATTACCAGAAAGTGCATGATTGCCTTGGGCACAGAGTCCTCAATGTTCTTTCTGACAATATCATAATATGACCTTAACAGCAACTTCGTAACATGAATCTCAATAGACTCCTGATCTGAACGAGCATCTGAGGGCCTCAAAACTGTTGGGGGCTATATTGAAAATTAAACAGATATTAGCAACTTTATTCTAATTATTTGAGTTACATAATCTTTGAAGCCAAAGGAATGTTTTAACCACATACCTCCCTCAAATGGATCATTGAAAATGCATGATCCATTGCCTGAACAGGTTCACTGAACAGCTTGTTTGTAGAATTTTCTTTAACAGTAGTGCGACTATCTGACCCCCCAAAAATTGATGAGATTCCCCAACTTCCGCTTCCTGGAAAGTACAGACATCAAAAGATTACAACTGTTTATCTGCTAGCAAACCTCATAACAGCAAGGCTAAGAGAGACTCTTCAGTATAATTAAAAGATATAATTTCTTGTATCATATTAGAATAATTAGCAAATACTGCTCTACAAATACAGTGAATGTGAATCATTGTGTATTTCCTTTCTTTAGCCTAAACCGTGAAAACGGGGTTGTGGGAGAGCAATACAAGCGTCGTGCTGCTAGGCGAAGCAGTAGCATGCTGCACCCTAGATGGCGAAAGTCCAGTAGCTGAAAGCATCACTAGCTTACGCTCTGACCCGAGTAGCATGGGGCACGTGGAATCCCGTGTGAATCAGCAAGGACCGCCTTGCAAGGCTAAATACTCCTAGGTGACCGATAGAGACGTAGTACCGTAAGGGAAGGGTGAAAAGAACCCCCATCAGGGAGTGATATAGAAAATGAACGTAAGCTCCCAAGCAGTGGGAGGAGCCCGGGGATCTGACCGCGTGCCTGTTGAAGAACGAGCCGGCAACTCATAGGCAGTGGCTTGGTTAAGGGAACCCATTGGGAGCATATAGCAGCTAAAATTTCTAATGGTGGTAGAGCAAACTCGCACGTCAACACAGTTGGATTGGTTCTGAAAGCTAGGAGTTTAACTTTAAAGAGCTGTATGCACATAACCTAGAAGAATTCATATAGAAAGAGTGAAAGCTAAAAGGAAAGTACTAGAGTGGATGCTGCATTACATGAATTAATAATATTGCCGAAGTCAAGATGTATTTCTTGAAGGAATTACTGGGAAAGGAAGGTTTTACTGCAATAGTTATAAACCTGTTTATGATATATTTCCTAGGTTTCAAAGCAAAAGATTACCAGCTGTCGGCTTCTCAACCTCGCCAACTGCCCGAGACCCAGGTTGATTATGCTGTAAGAATTATAGAACTGCAAAAGTTAGTTAATCTAGAACAGCAACAAAAACATCTGGAAGCACCAGCCTTTATAAAATGTTTCCAACAATACTAAAATTTGTAAATATAAATTGCAGATGCTAATCAGATAAACACTACATAGAAAGAACCTGTTCTGTGACGATTCCATTGACTGGTCGGGCAAGAATTGCTCGTGACTTGATACCTCTTTCAGATTGTGGAGCTTTTTCAGGCTCCAATCCATCCTACCAATCAATCAAAAAAATATGTAAGAGAAGATGCAAAAGTACAAATTTGCAGCAATCTCGGATTATAATTACACCTTTTGCCTTGATATTGTTGTTGCAATCTTGGAAGATTTGACTTGCTGCATCGCAATCTCTACTGCTTTACTCCCACCAACAAAATTTGGGTGTGAAGTGTTTATGTAGTCCATCTGCAAATTGAAAAGGCAACCATCGAACATAAGGATGAGTCTTGGAGCAACTAGTAAGGAGACTTCTTTGGGAATGAATTGTCATGTGTTTTGAGTCGATAAACCATCTCATCATGAAAATGTAAAGGAAAACTTGTGTACTAAAACTCCCCTCCCCAACCCACAAAGCCAAGGAATTCGATATAGCAACTACCTAATAGAGGCTAGCCGATCAGGGAAAAGACACAAGGAACTCGTGCAACTACAATAAGCAAAGTCTTGGGCAGGAAAATTCGCTGATTTGCTCATAACGCACTTTCATGTACTTCGATAACATCTCAAGTCTCTCAATAAAATAATGTACATGTTTATATAAAAGTAGATAAGTATCAATCTGATAAGAACTCTTCCAGGGTTCAATTGATTTTCAAAACAAACAGAAATAGGAAAACTGTTGTCTGGAAATTCGAGAGCCAGACCCCTCCCAATATGAAGCTAAATAATTCAAGAATATCCCCCCCCCAACCGATTATTTAATACTAGGATAGCAAAACAAAAAAGGAAATACCATGACAAAAGGGAACACAATAAAAAGAAAACAAAAAACTCCTATGTTTGACAGCTCACCCCACTACCCCCTTAAACTTCTTTCTAGAATATACTTTGGTAATCGGAGCCTTATCACAATCATGGCTGAAATCCCACTACTTTCAACAGCTCTGAAACAAGAGCAACAGCAACACATGCAGAAAGAGGGGCAATGTTTTTACGACCTAACATTGCTGTAGATTCAGTTGATGCTGAACTAGTACAATTTACCAAAACAAAGAAACGGTATTAACAAATGTTCAAACAGATTTGCAACAGTTAAGCAGTCCTTTTTATACATGTAAGGTCCATTACTGGTTCTTAGTTTCACATGGTAAAACCAGCTACATTATGTTATCCTTAACTCTATTACTTGCAAACATCTAGATTATCACTTACATGCACATGGCTGTACTATATAGCATTTTCATTAGAGCATGTCACGAGACATGCGCTATCAGGAATATAAAAATGGTTACCGACATTTTATTGACATGACAGATTCTTATCGTCCTCGAACTAAAACTATTAGAGAAGAAACATTTTCGACAATGTTGTGACTTGCGATAAAAAGATTAGACAGCAATGTGATGGCAAAAATGATGATGCATGCATGCCTCATGCAATAGGTAGGAGTAGTATACCTCCATTTCAACAATGTGCCCGATCATAGTCTCTGAAGGTTGAAGACCGTCTCGTAAGAAATTGCCAATAACATCATCCATTCTCTTCCTCAGAATAGGAAACCTCTGTAACTCATTGACCATACAGCGATGGCTCATCTAACACAGAAACAGATTAGTCATCATCCCATTGACCATTGCAAGACGTCATTATTAAGCAGATAGATTTTGAAACCTTCACCTTTATCAACTCATCATAAATAAATCGTGCACACTGAAGACTTGGATCTAGCAAACGAGCAATTTGTCTTCTAATAAGAACTTCAAATGGAACCTGCATATGCATGTTAAGTATCATACCCAATTAAGCATTCCATAACAAAATATCAAGTTGCAAAAAATCTATACTAGTGTGCGAGGCTAACAGTCGTAATTAATAGAAAAAACTGAGAAGTACAGAGTAAGACCTACTTCAGGCACAAATAAAGCAGATCTAGGTCCAGTTGCATTCTGTATGGCAGTGCGGATGTCATCATCCGTCAAGTCCTCACAAGGATCAACCTCCTGCAGCCGTAGCTCGATCAATATCACTTTGCAACATATAAAATGGTTATACTGAGCATCAAGTTCCATTTACATCACCGAGAAAAGGAAATTCATTCATCAAAGGCCAAGACATAACTAACAATCAAATATATTCAATGCAAACTAAGAAAGTCATGCTTTAACAGGTACTTCAACTAGCAACAGGAACTGCAATAGCAAATGGACATATACGACCATGGATAAACTCGACTAAAGACACGACCATGGATAAACTCGACTAAAGACGCACCTCCAAACTCTTCACAAATATTGATTGGAAAATATAGTGTATTCGTGCTCCTCCTGACAATTCAGATGTTGACATCTCCTCATTCTTCCCCTCAATCATTGAAGAGAAGGCTGTTTAAGGTATCAACAAGATCATCTATGAGATCCAAAATCAGAAACACATACAAGTAGACACTGATGAAAATAAAAACAAGAAAAAGCCGTATCACCTTCTGAATACTTTGAAAGAATATTTAGAAGGAGAGCTCCCATGCCAGCCTATAAATCATTAAAAAGCAAATGTTAGAAGGCAAAAACCTACCTGAAGGAGAGAAACCCATGTCTATATTCAATATATATTGCAATAAACAGAAGTGCAAAATCAATACAGTACTCTCTGCTCAAACCCATCTACATTGAAGCTGTTTGTGTCATACAATAATCATCGAAACCCCAATGTAGAACTAACAATCTATAAGACATCATAAAAACTTCCGTTTCTAGTTATCGTTCCATATTATGGTGGGTGCAGAGACATGATCATAAATTTGAGCAGGATCAGTTGAATACAGGTAACAAGGCACTAGAGCTAAATGGACGTTAGCTCCTCTGCCATTGCCTCGTAAGAAGCAACACTTGCTTCTGGTATGTGATGTGAAACAATTTCCAGTAAAATATTGAAAATAGGGATCAACATGCTTCTTTTGGTTAGCCTGTTACCTCCCTATGTGTAGGGGAGTATATTATCTGAATGCACAATTACCTATAACATCACTGGAAATAAGATCAGCCAATCAACTAAGAAAAATCACAAGCTTCAACTAGAAGATAGATGTGATAAGAAGATTAATACCTTTGACTCTGTAATCTCTCCATAACTAGCGTGTTCTTTTGCTACAGAAACTAATGCAGCGCTGATGCGTGTCTTCAATCCTGGTAACACTGTTTTGATATGTTGCACCAAAATCTGCAAAGATGTAACTTAAAATGAGGTTTATTTGTTACGGGCAGAAAAAACCTCATCCATGAATGATGAGGAACTCTTCAAAATCAACCTGATATGAGTTTATGCCAATAGGCATACATACATCTGACTGTGTGTGCACAATGAAAGCAAAGTAAGAGAGAAATGTTAAGTAATAGCATGAGTCATGCACCATTTTGCTGGACACACATCTCAAAAGAACCAATTAAGATGTTATCACCAACATAATGACAGCTTAAAATTTTCCAAAGCAAAATGCAAACTTCCCCAACTCCACTCGAGCACACTCTTACCTGGTTTAACTTTTTTGCCAGTTGGGGCACACCACAACGATCAGCAAGCTCACTATACACCTACATTACAAAAATCAGTAAAAGTAGCTGGAGAAGCATGTTAGATAAATGGTCAAAGGTAGAGGATATTGTTGTCATACCGGACGACTGCGAAAGAATTTCTCCTCAGCCATAAGTGCATCTTTAATAGTTCGATTCAGCATAATGTCCTATTATTAAAATGTGGCAAATGTTATGAGATTATAGAAGTAAGAAAACTACGACACTGTTAAGCTTTTTCCTTCAGTTATATTTAATGGTAAATATGTGGACAACTTTCATACAAGTATACAACAAAAAACTAGGAAACCTCCTATGGACTACCACTATATAGAATAGAATTGAATAACAGCTTCCATTTCCAGCGTTAGAACTTGGAAAACAAAACTATTACCTCTTGACTACGATTTACAACACCAACATAACCAAGTCGTAAGGGAATCACTTTTCCAAGCAAAAAATTGCGAGCATCTGTACCTCTGTCCATGATATCCAACTAAAGCACCAAAAAGGATAACATAAATCAGAAATGAAGAATACAATATAGTGGCAGAGAAGTAAGGAAGCAAGAATATGAAATCATGCATATTATACCTTGGTAATCACACCAATAGTTCGGTAACCTGACAGCACAAAAAAGGAAGAAGCCATGTTAAAGAGATGTACTAAATCAACAAGAAATCACTCTACTGATGACTCACTGATAAATGGCATCAATGCCTACCATCAGGATCTGCATTTCCAGCGATCTGAAGTGCATCTGAGTTGGCAAGGTCAGCATTTGCTGGTGTAACAGCCAATATCAAACAGCTGGGAAGCTTAATGTATGACATTATCATTGTCCTAATACGAGCTTCGATGTCAGATGGCTGGTCACCAACAGGAACTTTTGTTATACCCGGTAAATCCACCAGGGTGATGTCAAGTACATTAGGTGAAAAAATCTTTAAACGAATTTGCTTGTCAGAGACACCCTTGTTTCCTCCTGCTTCCCTGTCTGTCTCCGCCTGCAGTATCCAAACAGCCAACTAAGGGGTCAGTGATTGAACTTTCCCTTACTTGACATAACATAAATTTCCTTTTTCTGAAAGGCTTAAAAATCAAAACTATCATAGAAGATGGTAGCAACAAAAACAACATTATATTTGTTTAAGCTGTAAAATAGTTCGAATGTGGAATGTCAAAACACCGTTAATCTCATACATTGATTTTAGCTAAAGTGGATAAGCATGCACCTAAATATAGTAATCAATAGATAACAAAATCATAAACAAGTGAGTTCTGGCTCTGCGCTTTTCTGGTTGACAGAAAATGAATTTAACTATTTCATGTTATCTTTTACATAAACATTCTGTAGACCTAACCACGGAACTAAAAGCAATTATATCACTATGGTCAAAACGGCTTCTCCTCATCGTACTATGACCAAATTTCAAGCTACCAACTAAACCCTTAGGTGCGACAATACAGAATCAAATCCCTATTGGCCGGGTGGAGGTGATAAAAGAGAATAAGTTGCCGTACTAAAATTTCAAGATGTCGCTTACTCGAAATTTAGTTCTCATAGATATAGAAATGACATGCCCGTTGAAAAATGATGGACAATATATGTTACATAAAGTATAATGCCCTAGCCTTTTCAATTGCTTTAGAATTCAGACATCATCTATTTGTCATATAAGAAAGCTAAACTTATGAATTATTCTTTTCTTTTTCTTAAAATAGTTAATTAAAATTGTGAACAAGTAAAAATCTTAGGGTAAAACACTTCCATATAATATAATCAAAATATTAATTAATGTACAATTGTAACTACGTAATATCCAGTCCGTTGATTCCTTCCTCTTCCAACCCCTCCCCAAACACCGCTCCTCTGTGGCCTTTCCCACCAGCACTGACTCGCCCTCACCAGTACCATATACTTGAATAGATAAAAAGCAGAAAAAGACAAACTATAGCCTATAGAAACAAAGACAGAAAGACAAAGAAGTCGATCTGCAAACCTCTGAGAGCAAACTTGTATGACGTTTGAATTTCTCATAGAGCCCAACTTGATTCACCAAGGGATCGTTAAAGTCCTTTGAAATATTACTCAAGAATGGGTGGTCAAACAGTGATTGTAGTGGGAAATTCAGGGTTTCCTCCTTCCACATTTTATTGTACACATGTATTTAGATGTAGATTATATGGAAGAACAAAATTTCTAGAAAGAGAGGAGAGATGGGCGTATGCTGAGTGGTGGAAGAAGTGAGCGAGACCACACACAAGCAAGGGGGTAGATGGGGAAGTAGGTGAGGGGGAGGGGTACTTGGTAAAGAAGACAATGTAGACAAAACTCACATGCCATCTCCCTCTTACCTCTCCAACCAAGCAGTGGCGATGTCAAAAATGGTGTAATTATCTCAAATAATTCTTCATAAATAAATTGAGGATTTGATCATAGCACATTATGGAAAAGGGTACAGTTGGCAAAATGTCGGGATAACGGGTCAAAACGGGTAAAATATTCAAACGGGTCATAAAAGGGGGCGAGTCTGTAAAATAATATCCAGTTTTTTTAATAAAGCAGTTTAAAATACCGTAAACAGTTGAGTACACTTTGGGGCAACTATTAAACTGTTGGGTCAATTTCCTTTTTAATGAATTTTTTTTCATTTAACCATTGGACCTGTTAGCAATAAAATTCAACCCAAGTTAACCCATTTTTACATATATGGGTTGAAATTTCCCTCTCTAGAAAAGGGAGATTTAGTATATTATTGTAAAAGGCAGTTGTGTTTACTTCTAAAGGATTGGAGTTGGCAGCCTTTTATTATATAGCCTGTATTTGATACACATTGAGGTTCAGCTAATGCATGTCACCTATTTCATTCCATGTGATGTTTACTAACAACCATGAAAGGTATGCAGCTACCTAGCTTACAGATCACTAACTACAGTTGCTATGTAACTTCTCATGCATAAATTATGATGGTACCTACATTGATTTGGCATCATCACCCTGCTATGTTATACATCAAATATGTTTGCCACTTGCAACTTATTTCTGAGCTGCTAACTAAGCCAACTCTAGACAACAAGTAAAGGTGCTATAAGACCTTGACATTCAGTGGTATACTTCAAAAAGGCTTGCCTAAGTGGCAACGTGATTATAAGCCAAGGCATCAATAACTACAAATACCATACTGTTAGCAAAAAAATAAACAATTTAAAAATCAGCAATTCATATTTCTCGCATTGTTTTTCCCCTCAAGTTGCTCTGGCGTAAATAGAACGTGCAACTAAAATGATAGATGCTTAGCTATGGAAAGATGTTAGCTCTGGCCAAGAGTAATTTACACTTTCATAAGGGTTCTAAAAGGTGCGCCATGGCGTAAGACACGTCTCTGCCGTTACAACAAGGCTATAGTGTTTCTGTATATTTACAATTATATACAAGTATATAACATACAAATTTGTCGCCTTATGTCATGCCTTGAAAAACGCCGTGTCCTCGCTGTGGCATGTAAGGCTTGACCTTGTTGCCACCCATGCCTCATGCCAGTTAGAACCTTGACATGCATACAATTGACAGTCTGCACACTTAACCAAGACCTCTTAACATTTTTTCCTCTGAATCAATGCTCATACACAAAAGTACAATTGATTAAGATGAGCTATACCAAAGTCACTCTCATCTAACTCTGATTAACTTGGGCACCTAGCTGATGCAGCATATGAGTAAGTATATGCAATGATATACTTCCAATTCAGCAATGCAAAATACAGATGGTCTATGTAATCAGTGATGCTACAAAACAATGAGCCCAACTATTTTGCTGAAAGATTAGATGAACATGAGAGGCTAAAGATCCTGTCTTGGCTTCTAGAACTCATGCTCCTACGATTAACAACTTTTTCTCATTAAAACTTTCTTCTAAGGTACTATCTCTGGATTCTGAATTTGCACAAACGTCACATTCTTCTATCTCCAGTGCAGAAAATACAACAGGTCCTGCTGGTTATTTAGCTTGAGTTTTCTAATGTTCAAGAATTTTATCCATTATCATCTTAATGTTTGATAGAAACTGCTTTTTTATCTGGCATTCAAGGCCTTCTATTTTGGAAGAGGCAAAAGATCTCGAATATCCAATGATCATTGGACATGAAACTATCTTTATTACCAACAAACGGTGCATTTCTCTCAATTAATTCTGCTAGAGCAAATGCTTTTTTGAAATCATCCTAAACTCAAAACAAATACTAGTAACATAAAACTATAAAATCTAATAACAGAGTAATGAATCTGCTCTTGTAAAAAGTACCTGAATTTCATTACGAATTTCATTGAAATTATAGAACCTCTTCCCCGGCACGTGTAAGAACTCACCATACTCTTCATCCGTCCCGTCAGGCTTCCGCTTCGTCTGAAGGAGCTGAAGCACGAGCGGTCGGCGAGTGCAGATGTCGGATCCCCTCGGCAAGAAGTCACGACCGACGAGAGCTTCAAGCACACTAGACTTACCACTGCTTTGGCTCCCAACAACGGCGACCTGAGGGAGCTCAATAGTAGAGGAGCTTCCAAGCTGTGCGAAAATGTCTTGGAGCTTGTTAACGATTGGGATGACGTTGTGGCCAAGAGGAGCGGCGTTAGAGTTGGACGGTGATGAAGGTGGTGGTTGTTGAGGCGAGGAAGGGACGACTGGTTCGTCCGCCATTGAACTTGATTTGGTGGTGGGATCGAATTCCAGAGTGTCAAACCCTAGAGGTAGGAAGGAGGTGGAGAGAAGGTGGTTTGTGTTGCAAATGGTTTATAGAGAGAGAAGTTGGGAGAGTCGTGGAGGAGATTCTCGTGCCGCCCAAGCAGAAGGGGTGAAAGTATCATTTCACCATTTTAGAGGGGTGGAGATTATCGTGTCGTTCGTTGTTCCCGAATTCAAACCAATTTCAATCACTTTTTCATTTCCAATGCAGTTCGATACATTTCGTTATGAAGTCGAAAACTTTAACCATATATCATGATTAATTTTTTATGGGTGTGTTTGGTATATTGGACAGAGATATGATAGAATAGGATATGGATCTTTGTTTCATGTTTGGAAAGAATTTTATATGAAACAAAATGGAACAGACTTGTTTCACTTCTACCCCATGAAACATGGTGGAATAAGGTGAAACAGACTTATATTTTAACAATATAGTCTCAAAATAAAATTTAATTCTCTTCTAAAACATTAAATAGGTCTTTTTTTACATTTTATTCGTTTTTTAAATTTTACTTATGGTATTTTATGTTTCTTAAACTTTTATTTTACTATCCTCAAATATATTATTTTTATACGGTTTCTAATTTTTTATTAATTTATGTAATTTATTATATATTAATATAGAAAAGAAATAAAAATAAAAAATTGCATAAACTTTTTATTTGGTGTAATTTTAATTGTTTTAACGAAAACTTCAAATGATATATTTTATTATAAAAAATAATTATTCTATTATAATTTAATAAATTACATAAATTAATTGAAATAAACTACTTATCAGGGGTAAATTGGTCATTTTACTTGTTCTATTCTGTCCCCTTTTATCTTACCAAACGTTGAACAGTTGTTATATCATGTCTTGTCATGTTCTGCCCTATCATGTCTTGTCTGGACACCAAACACAACCTGCAATGTTAGTTTTGGGGTTTCTCATATCTTGAATGAGAAAGTAAAATAATGTTCCTACTATTCAAACATTATAAATGAAACATGCTATTTTTTAAAGGTTTGGAACCTAATCAAGCTACGCATCTCCTACTTAAGTCAATATTTGTTTTTGTTATTAAATGATAATTTATTTTTACAATGCATATCTTATGATTATATAATATCAAGATAAATTGAACTTTGAAAACTTGCATATAATGATAGTTGTACTCGAACTAATTGTATACAACCATATAAAAATGTTTAATCTATTTTAAAACTTAATGCTCTACGTGGGTGACAAACCACATCATGGGTGACAACAAAATTGGAATTACAAGATTCAACATCGAATCAAGAATTAGAATACATAATAAAAAGTAATATTCAAGAATCATATTTATGACTATGAAAATCACAAAAAAAAATAGTTGAAATTATATAATAATCTAAATTAATGGCCCTTGGGTCGTCGCCCGGCTCACCCGCCCTTTAAAACTTTTTATTAATAATAATATCACTGGGATTAAATTGATGGCCCTTGGGCTTTGATATTTTGGGCCGTCGGCCGACTCACCCACCTTTTGGGTCGGCCTTAGTTCTTTGTCCCTATCTATTTTATTTTTATGGTTTGTGTTTTTTAAGGCATTTCCAACTCACCACTATAAACACGAAATATATCAATATATAGGTCATTTTCACTCCAAACCACCACTGTAACATTTAAATAATAGAGGTTATCAAATTTGATCTCTATATTTGGAGGTCAAGAAGTTGGTTTATATAGGCATGGTAATGGAGCGGGGATTCCAATCTTCTTCCCCGATACACCATTTTTGTCCCCGTCCCCGTCCCCACCGGGGAATTTGATCATATCCCCGTCCCCAATGGGGAACGGGGATCCCCAACGGGGAAATGGGGAAAAAAATTCGTTTGTGTAAGTTTTTATTAAATCAAATGTGTGAGACGTTATACATGTTTAAATCTCATATTTTTCCAATAAACCTAAAATCATAAGAAATATAATTAATACAAAAATATACATCATCATATAATAATTAATAAATTGGAAACCAAAAGAAATTAAATTTAATCTAAAAAAATAATGTCACATGTACCTAAAATATTCAAAAACACATTTAGTAATATTCAAAATATATTAAAACAGAAATTACTATTTACTTATTTAATATAAATAACTAATATATAACATAATTTATTAATTAATATATATAGGTACAACTGTGAATAATTTTGTTATAATTTTGGTCAATGACGTTTCAAAGATACATATATAAAATATTTGTATAGAGATAAAAAAAATAACAAAATAAAATCTCATTACCAAAAATTTAAAAATACGATAATATCGGCTATTTAATTTAATAATTTATACTATATTATAAAACATTTGACAAAAACTCTTAAAAACGATTTTTTTATATACGAAATATTGTTTATTGATGCATATTATTTAAAATTTAAGATTACAAGTAAATTGTGCGTAAGTACAACCTATTAAAGCTCCATACTTGAATTCGTCTAACTAACTGCAGATAAACATAATCAAATATTGGATAAATATCTCATTTTAAATATAAAAATTTAAAATATAATTATGATAATCATTGATAACTAACAGCACTTAGTTATTATTTTTATAAAAAATATATTATTATCAAGTTAAATTAAATTATAATAAAAAATTTGAATTAAAAAAATATACAAACAAAAACTTTTAAGTAGTTAATTTGATACTAATATTGAAATATTTTTTGTAAATTTTATGATATTTTCAAATTTATATTTTATTCAAAAATAAAACATTATCATTTTTCTCAAAACCACATAAAATCGTATTATATTGTAATGAATAAAAAATAAAACAAAACATTGAAAATGAAAATGTGTCTCGATGCATTGCACAAGTACCCTTCCAGTATCAATTAAAAGAACTTGTCACTTTAAATTTAAAAATACATCATTAAATAAATTATGTTGAGGATCAAATAATAATATTTATTTATTATAGAAAATAATTGCATATTATAACTCTTGAATTTTAAATAAATGATATAATCTATACTATATTATAAAACATTTGATAAAAAAACTCTTAAAAATTATTTTTTATACATAAAGTTCTGTTTATTGATGCATATTACTTAAAATTTAATATTACAAACAAATTGTGTGTAAGCATAACTTATTAAAGCTCCATGTTTGTATTCGTGTTAACATAGCCAAATACAAGATAAATATTTCACTTTAAATATAAAAAATCTAAAATATAAGCAGGATAATCATTGACTTCCAGCAAAATATTTAATTATTATCTTATAAAAAATTATAGTATTAAATCAAAAATAAATTATTTCATTATTAGATCTAAATTAAATTATAATTAACAAAACAATAACTTTTTGATAATTAATTTAATATTAATAACAATATACTTATTTTTGAAATTTTATAATTTCTTCAAATTTATATTTTATTTAAAAATAAAAACATTAGTTTTTTTCTCAAAACCACATAAACCGTATTATAACATCTACATGGATAGAATAAAACGAAAATTTAAAATTGAGATATATTTCGATGCATTGGACAATTACCCTTCTAGCAATATATAAATATGTTTGTTTATTATTAAAATATGTTTTTTATAAGCTAACTTATTGAAACCGTAGTTGAATTAGCTTATGAGAAGTCTTTTCTCACTTTTTCTAATTATAACTTTCATTAATATTTATTAGGGCAAAATGCACAAAATAACAATCTACTCTCGTAAAATTTTTTATTATGGCATTGTACTTCCAGTTTTTTCTTACTACATCAATGTACTTTCAAACTATTTTTTATTAGGATGTTGTAATTTGAAAATTTTACCCATTATAGCATTGGGTAACCTTTTGATTTAAATTTACCGATTATACCAGATTTCCATACCATCTCATTGTCCACGTAGACTGTTTAATATTTTCAAAATAATAAATATAAAAAAATCTAGTTTGGTCAAAGAAAATTCAAAAAACATAATATTAAATTTTAAAATTATTTCCATAATTTTAAATTTATATTATTAAAATATTTAATACACTTAATAAAAGGTTTTTTTTTCTTTTTTCTATTAATTTTTAAAAATCCCTCCTTTTTCTTCCAAATATGGAGATTTTTTTTCCTTTTTCATATTTTTTCTATTTTGGAAATTGTTTTAAATAATATGTGGAAAAAAAACTAAAAATTATAATTTCTCCATTTAAAGTTCATTTTGTTAATAATGGTCAAAGTCAAAAAAATTAAAGCCAAACATTTATTTTTAATATTTCATTTGATTAATTTTAAAACAAAAAAAAAGGGAAAATTAAATGCGATGCGATTTAAATGGTCAATATTTCTCTATAAAACTTGAAAATACTGATAGACTGCTTCATACAAAGAATAGACGAAGAAAGATAGATTTTGCTTTCTCCTTAACAAAGAATGAATATATCGTCCTTGAAAATGGCGGTTTTCACTGTCTTGTTGATTTTCGTCATCGGTGAGCCATTCTTAGTTCCTCTTTGTTTAATAATGTATACGCTTGCATATAATACGTTTGACGCTAATTGGGAAACGGAATTTTACTTGTGTTTTTTCTGGTAGGTATGATGAACTTCCCTCAACTCTCACTTGCTGATGATTATCCGCCATGTAACAGTGTCAAAGATTGTTATCCGGATTATTGTCCGATAATTTCGGTTCCTCTATGTATTAAGCATCGTTGTATTTGTATAAGATAGGAGAACGTACAACCTCCCAGTCTCAATTAAGACGTCAAAACCAATCAATCGATGCATAATGAATTTTAATTATATGAATATGTAGTCGTGTTCTCGAATCAACGTTGATTCTTATTTGGATGAACAAAGTTAACGAGACAAAAGTTTCGTTTTATTATAGTTGATTACTGTTGCTATCCTTAATGTTCATATGTATGATTTCAATACGTTATATATCATTTTCTTAGGGGCCGTTTACCAAACACTTACCCAGTAAATGTTTACCGGTAAAATTTAACACTGTCATTTACTTACCGGGTAAGAT